CTAGGGAAAGACCGAGAAAGGAGTTGATGACAGCAAGCTCTCAGAAAGAAAATTGCCGGCCAACGCGTCTTTCGGAAGAATTTATTGACATCGACACACTCATCGAGCCTGATGAGCCGCCGCCACCGTACTCCACAGTCGATTCAAAGACTCGAAACCAAAAAAGAGCCAACCAACCGATCAAACCAAGTGTGGAGGCGGCAAACTCGGAGCCTGAATTTGAAGAGCAGTATCATGTTGTTGAAACAGTGAGTCGGATAAAAACCCGCACACGCAGGGCACTTAGCCGAATGGCATCGCACGACACTCCTGGTAATGTCGGTGAGAACAAGCGTTCATTGTCTGCGATGGCGAGTCCGAAGTTTCAAAATGCGACCAGCCCCGTTGTTAGCGGTTTGAAGAAAGAAAACTCTCCGTTTAAACAGTTGACGGACCGATCGATTTCTCCCTCTATAAAAGCGCCTCGGAATAATCAGATTCTTCAGAAAGATCGCATCATAGAAGACTCTGAGGACGACGACCTTATTTCCCAAGCCGAATGGGCGGATGCACATGTGCCCGAACCCATGAAGGTTGACAGTATCGTTCGGAGGACCGTTTTCAAATCACCATCAAAGGAACAAAGTGTAGAGCACAAATCGCTTGGCCATTTAAAAAACGAGCCGCTTTTTGGTACAGATGCGTCCCGAAACGGGTCAGTTAAGACGGCTGCTGTCAGCAATCTCAAGCAAGAGAGCTTTCCATCTCCTTTCCAGCGAGATTCGCCAACTAGGTTAGCCACTTCTCAAATAATCCCCAAGCAAAGCACCGCCTCGAGCCAGCAAATTCCGTCATCATCATCGCCAGAAGAAGATAAAAGGCTTTTCGGCATCTTCCTGGACAAGCCGTCTCATATACAGCAATTTTTGTCCCTACTGAATGAGAGGCTCCAAGAAAACCGTAGGGTTATGTGCGAATACTTTGACGCCGGCGAAATCGCGCCTGGACATATGAAACTTGAGCGAGAGAAGCTGGCAAAGCAAAGAAACGCGGCCACAGACCTGCTTCCACTGTATGAAAAGCACGCCAAGTTAAGCAACCAGAAGGAAAAAACCAAGGCCGATTATTTCGCGTATTTAGAGACCTCCCGCGATGTTGGGGGATTTGAAAACGAGATTCCACTCATCACACACAATATCAACAAAATAGAGGCTCGAATAGTATCGCTAGTTAGAGCATGTGGAGTTACAGCTGATGACCTCTTAGCAATCGAAGGGTTGACGAATAGTGGCAAGCAGGCACAACTTGAACGGCACACAGAAAAGGCCAAAGAATCAACAGAATTGCTCGGATCCAGAACACCGTCTAGCTTATATTGCGATTCTCAAATAGTCCACCAGACCCAGATGCCCTCCAATGGAATGCAGCCGACAACGAACCAAAAACCAGCCGCCGCCAAAGAGTACCGTCCTGTAAACGCTGGCTCTTCATCCACATTCCAAGCCAATATGAGTACAGAATTTCAGCGCAACGCCCAGAATTCCCTCCAATCTGATAGGATGAACTATCAGCCGGCGATGATGCAAAGTGCTCCCAGCCGTTTCGATTGCCCAGAAGATTTTGAAGATGAAGATGATATGCTCGGCAACTTTGATCCCATTACTCGCAATATGGATGAAGAAGATTATGGCGACTTTGATGATGACGATGACATGATTGAGTTTGCAGAGTCTTGGGATCGAGGTGAGGCTAGTTCAGGTCGTGTTGCAGCTGACACCCACGAAGTTTCTATGCCTCCCCCCTCAACTCCTTCAGCTTCTAGAAGGCCAAAGTTAAGCAGCAGCAAAGACATGTCCCTGTCTGTTAATGCAGGGTCAGCTGCCCTTATGAAACATAAATGGTCAGGTGAAGTCAAACAAAAGTTAACGGCGCGATTCCACCTCAGGGGATTCAGACAAAATCAGCTTGAGGCTATAAACGCTACATTGGGAGGCAAGGATACGTTTGTTCTCATGCCGACTGGAGGCGGGAAATCATTGTGCTATCAGCTTCCAGCGATTATCCGCTCAGGCACCACACGTGGTGTCACTATTGTCATCTCTCCTCTTCTGAGTCTTATGCAGGATCAAGTGGACCATCTCCAGAAACTTGGCATCCAGGCTTTTGTGATCAATAGCGAAGTGACACAAAGCTACAAAAATATGGTAATGTCGGGACTCGAAGAACGCATCCCGGAGGACTTTGTTGAACTACTCTATGTCACACCTGAAATGGTAACTAAAAGCGAAGCGATACTTAGCAGGTTTGCGTCTCTCCATCGTAGGCACAAACTTGCTCGCATTGTAATCGACGAAGCTCATTGCGTGAGCCAATGGGGACACGACTTCCGACCAGATTATAAAGAGCTAGGGGAGGTTCGAGCTAGATTTCCAGGCGTCCCAATCATGGCCCTCACAGCAACAGCGACAGAAAACGTCAAAGTCGATGTTATCCATAATCTTGCGATGGAAGGTTGTCAACAGTATACACAGAGCTTCAACCGTCCCAATTTGACGTATGAAGTGAGGCCCAAGCCTAAACACGAAGAGTTGATGAAAAGTATAGTGGAGATCATCACCAAGAAATATAAAGGGCAAACTGGTATCATTTATGCTCTTTCTCGCAAAAATTGCGAGAAGGTTGCCGATGAACTCTCTACACGTTATAACATCAAAGCATGCCACTACCACGCTGCTTTGAAACCAATAGAAAAGAAGCGAGTGCAGCAGGATTGGCAGGCAGGAAAGTGGCAGGTCATAGTTGCTACTATTGCGTTTGGTATGGGAATCGACAAAGCCAACGTTCGGTTTGTAATACACCAGACAATGCCGAAAAGTCTGGAGGGTTATTATCAAGAAACTGGCCGTGCTGGTAGGGACGGAAAACTCTCCGGGTGTTATCTATATTACGGCTATCAGGACACCACCGTCCTTCGGAAATTTATTGAAGATGGCGACGGAAGTCACGAGCAAAAAGACAGGCAGCGATCAATGCTAAATCGAATGTCCCAATTCTGCGAGAACAGAGTGGATTGCCGCAGAGTAGAAGTTCTTGCCTACTTTGGCGAACGATTTCAGAAGGAGGATTGCAATGGTACTTGCGATAACTGCAACTCCACCAGTGTTTACGAGGCTGTTGATCGCTCAAAAGAGACTCGAATTGCTTTGAGTATTGTCCGACAGCTTCATACGGAAAACCTTACTCTGGTCAATTACGCCGACATAATGCGTGGCAACCGTGGCAACAAGTCAGCTAAAATCGTCTCTTTGAATCTCGACAAAATGAGCCTCTTTGGTCAAGTGAAGCATCTACACAAAAACGAAGTTGAGGCCCTGCTATATCGTCTTGTCAGCGAGAATGCCCTCAAAGAAGTGAACCAAATCAACAAAGCCGGGTTTGCCACTGCATACTTGAAAGTAAGTTCCCATCCTACCTTATGTTACCTAGCTAATCATGCAGCTCGGAAAATCATTCCAAGATTTCTTAACAGGCCGCAGGAAGATTAAGGTGTCTGTCAGGGTTTCATCTCCGGGTGCAGCTAAGGCAAGCCGCCCCAATAAAGCCTCCCAGGCTAGTAGCGACTTCACTGGCGTTGCGGCTGCGCGGGGCGTACAGCACCATCCTCAGTCAACGAACGTATCTTCTCCTGTCTCTATGGCGGCAAACAGACGCAAGGGCAAGAATCCTTATATTGACGATGAGGCGGAAGAGGACGAGGAAGAGGAGGAAGAATCTGACAATTATGGATTTGAAGATGGATTTATTGTCCCCGATGACCACGTATCTACTGATGATGATGAGGACGATGACTTCGAGCCAGTTCGCCAAGGCAACAGGCCTGCGCTATTTCAAAGATCCAAACGAGATGTCGGACCCCGCATCACGAATGATGTTCTGATGACCGAAGCAAACCTCTCATCTCTTCACATTCATGTCATCTCAAACTTTGTTATTGAGGCCAAGCAACTAGACGAAGAAATCCGCAACAGCAGAGGGATCAGAAAGCCAATCTTTACGGAAACCCAGCTACGGGCGATGTGCATCAATTGGATGTTGGAACTGAAAGACATCAAATCTATAGAAGGCGTCAACCAAGAGCAAGTAGAAAAGTTTGGATCCAAATTCGTGGCGCTAATCCGACGCTTCCACACCGAATACGACGCAATGATGCGACACAATGAGGACCGAGATATAGACCAAAACCACAGAAACGTCATAGACCTCGTCAGCGACAATGACGACGCCAAGTTTGACGACGACGATGACGAAGAGGCCGACGAAGAGGAGATCTCACAGGGCGAGACGAGCCAGTGGTTCCAGAACCGCCAGATTAACTCAGCAACTCAAGCTTTCAACCAGCGACTTGCAGAGACCATGCCTGCACCAGACGAGGACGAGGAGGTATCGGATGGTGAGCCAATCAGGCCCGCTATGACCCAGCCACCGAGGGGAGGGGCAGGCAAGGCCCGCGGAGGGTCACGGAAGCCCTACGCCCGTAGGACGTCAGGCGGAAGCACTGGAGGTGCAGCCAGAGCGCCAAGAGCGAGGGCTGGAGGCGCAAGGAAGAGGAGTAGTGGTGCTGGAAGTGGCGCCGCGGCGCCGAGTAGGAGAGCCGCGCCCAAAGCGCCAAGTAGAGGGTTACCTGTCGAGAGACGTGGGAGCAGTACTGCTACTGTAATGAGTAATTTTGTGCAGAAGAATGGGGGTGGAGGGACGTGGCAAAGGGCGGGTGAGGGAGGCGGCGGGCTGCCTGGGATCGGGATGATGCCTACTAGATAATGTTGCGCCTTTGGTGTTGTAGCTTTGTTGCTCTATGGCTTGTGTTGGAAAAACTATATAGAATCTTACGAGCTTGACCATTTTGGTGTTTCGTGCAAAGACATTTCATAGGGGCGTGGTACAGACGGGAGACTATTTATTTAATGTAGCATGCCAACAAACGTCGCCAACTCCCTATCCCTATTCTCCAACATCTGCTCCACTCACCCCACCGCCCTCCCCGACAAACTCCTCTCCCCCAACCCGCCGCCATCAGCTATCCCCCACAACCCAGTCCCCGGTCCACCCTCCAACACCATCTTTCTCCCCGCCAAAACCTTCAAATTAGCAGCCACAGGCCCAGCCAGCCGCCTACCCAGCATGATCTGCAACACGCTCTTCCGCAAAGTAAACTTGCGCCACTGGCGAACAGCGCGCTGAGTACCAGCTTTAACCTTCTCATAACGACCGAGCCGCAATTTCTTGCGCGGGTCGGGTTCCTCGGGACTCGGGATGTGTTCGTAAGGCTGGCCGGGAACGGGGGCAATGGCGGTGGGCGAGAGGCGCGTTAGGGGGGTGCGTTTCTTGGGTTTGAAAGAGGAGAATTTAGAGGGTTTGTGGTGTTTGGGTTTGGGGGTTGAGCCGGGGGCGTCTCGGGGCTCGGTGGGGATGTCGGTGGGTTCTGCGAAGACGGCAAGAGCAAAGGAAGTTTCTGGTTTGGTGGTTGTGAGAGGAGAAATCTCCCCCGAGCGTGGTCCGGCGAGACTGCTTTTCATAGAGGTATCGGATTTCTTCCGCCCGAGAGAGATTCTTCGTTTTGTCGGTGGCGTGCTGCTGTGTACGACTGATGAAAATCTCAGCTTTTTTGTTGTCGCTGGTTTGGGTGTCTCGTCTGATTTGGTTCTCCCTCGCAATTTTGGGAGGGTCGACTTTGATCTGGCCGACTGGTTTGGAGGGTCGGTACTTTTCTTTGGTATGAAATTGAAAGAGGGCTTGGGAATAGCCAGGGGGAATTGTCTGGGTTTTTTCTTTGGTGGTAATGCAACTGGAGAGCTTATGCTGGGCTTCAAATAAGAAGCGCCATCTACAGAGGCAGAGAGTCCCGGGTCTTCGGAGACAATGGCGCCATCTTGCCAACTTGGACGCAACTTTGAATGGCTGGGTATGTCTGAAGCGTCGTGGTACGTATCAGCCGATGTTGTCTCATCTCCCAGGTCGCTATGTGGCTCGAAAGCATGCTGGTCTGATCCTATTGTTGCTGGTTCAGGAAGAGCAGCATGAATATCCGGATTGCGTTGCATCCAAGCTGCCAAGTAATCGGGCAGTAGTTCTGCTGGAGGATGATCAAGGATGTCTAGGTGAACCTGGGGAGCTACTGGCTGGCTTGCAGTGCCACTTCTCCATCCAAGCTTCTCCTCTGCATATATGGCTTGGATAAGTCCATCCGGATCAGGGAGAATAGCATCTCCCACAGCAGGTTGATTAGTCCAACGACGAGGTGGGTTATATTGACGAGGAATAGTCTCCTGTAATATACAGCCGTTGTCATTTAGACCTGAGCGGCTGATATTTTCCCAATTGCTGGATATAGGGCTATCTTCTGGAAATAAGTCAATCGACTCTCGCTGCGCAGATGAGCGAGGTTGTGATGGGGTTCTAGGATTGCGAGATCGAGGCGGAATCCAACGCATATTATGATATCGGTGGGCGTTCGGGAGATTTTAGGGTAGTTGAGATATAAAGAGAGTATAAACAGGTACGGAGAGCATATTATGATATCGGTGGGCGTTCGGGAGATTTTAGGGTAGTTGAGATATAAAGAGAGTATAAACAGGTACATTTTGATATATGAAATATAGAGCTTACCATGTTGCCTTGCCTTGTCCGGAAGAGTTTCCCTTGTTCCTGTGTTCCTTCCATATTTATGATAAAAGGTTGGAAGAAGAACGAGTAAGCGTCCACTTTAGCACTGTACTGAGGTACAACGCGAGGCGCGCGCGTCCAGCCGTGCACGGACCAACGACTTTTGAATTTCAGGACAACCTCAACAACCAACCACCACCAACGACGACACGGAGTCGTTGAAACCCACCAGGAGCCATGGCGACCACCGTGGATCAGAAGCTTTTGAAAGCGACAAAGTTTCCTCCAGAGTTTAATCAGAAGGTGGACATGCAGAAGGTTAACCTTGAGGTTATGAGAAAGTATGCCTCCACAGCCATTACCACCACACTCCGGTCGATAAGCTAACCTCTCTTCCCTCAGATGGATCGCAGGCAAGATTTCGGATATCCTTGGAAGCGAAGATGATGTGGTTATAGAGCTATGCTTCAACTTGATTGAAGGGTCTCGTTACGTATGTCTCTACAACACCTACAGCCGTTGGTCTCGTGCCTCGCCCAATCTAACATTTGTTCCAGCCCGAAATTAAGAAACTACAAATCCAACTGACAGGCTTCCTGGAAAATGATACTCCCGCCTTTTGTAAAGAGTTGTGGAAGCTATGTCTAAGTGCACAGAATAGCCCTCAAGGTGTTCCGAAGGAGTTACTCGAGGCCAAGAAGCTGGAGCTCATCCAGGAAAAGGTACAACTGGCATTGTCCTATCGTTTCATGTTGATCTCCCGCTGACAGAAACACACCAGGTCGAAGCTGAGAAGGCTGCTGAAGAAGCGAGGCGCAGGCGCGAAATTGATAGCCAACGTGAACGAGACATGGACTCCATCCGAAACCGTGAACGAAATGAGCGTGGAAGGGGCGGGTATGGGATGCGCAACGACAACTGGCGCCGCGGGCGCGGAGATCGTGATTTTGGGCGTGGTGGAGACAACAATCGAGGGGGACATCGCAGGTCTCGCTCACCTGGGCAGTGGCGTGCCCCGCCAAGAGACATGGACTCATATGTTCCACGAGGAGGCGGTAGGAGGAGGGACGATAACAGGCGAACATCGCCATCACCGGCATTGGACAAACGACCCGTATCTGCGTCATCTTCGCGCTCCCGTCCCCGCCAACGTCGGCATTCAACAAGCCCATCCGCTTCCCCGCCTCGTCGCCGAAACTGCTCAATAAGCAGATCACCATCCTCAAATAGACGCGGAGACAGCTACCGCGGCCGTGGTGGGAGAAGTAGGCGACACAGCCCGGATCGCCGCCGCCGAAGGTCATACTCATCATCCGACTATCGATCTCCATCCCCAGCACCGCGGAAACGCAGGAGGTCGCCATCCCCCTCCGAAAGCCGCTCTCCTCCACCGAAGTCTCGCCGAAGACGCCGAGACAGCAGCAGCTCCCGCTCCCGTTCTCGTTCTCGTAACCGCTCCGTTTCACGGTCACCCATCCGAGGCAAGTCGCCGATGCGAAAACAATTCTCCGTAACCCCAGCGAGAGATCTAATTAGACCGAAACCTACTTCAAGTCGTAAGGGCCGTGACCGTGACGAGCACCGGCTAACTCGCAGTCATAGCCGAGACGAACGCAGCTTAACTCCTCGACAGCGCCCAACTACTAACAGAAGCCGGTCGAGAAGCGTCAGCCGAAGCAGGAGTAGAGCCAGGAGCCCGAGGAGGGAGAGGAAGAGAAGGGGTTCTATTGAACGATATGCGCCGCGGAGACACCACACCTCCTCCATCTCACCCCCTAGTACCAAAAGAATCAAAAGGGCTGATATTGAGGAAGATGAACGACGACGATCGCCATCGTCTGTTCAGAGCCCTCGAGGCAGGACGAGAACCAGAAGCATCAGCAGACCCCACAGCCCAGCAAAAGATGATGCGGAGATGACGGGGACAAAGGATCAAGAGGTTGGTAGTGCCTGATCATGAAGTCGCCGGCTTAGATGGACTGGCCTTGGCTGACCTCTGCGCATGATGACAGGCCAGTGCCGACCAGCCAGTGCCACAGCAAGGCCCTCAGAAAGAAGCAAGTGCGTTACGAGAGAAGTTGTTGAGGGAAAAGATTAAGAAGATGAGAATGTTAAGTATCAGCTCCAATAAGGCGGAATAGCCCGAAGAAGATGTTTCTGGGGAGCCATGGCAAGCGTCTCGCTGATTTATGTTAATCAGCACAGCGGTTTACTGAGCTAGTTAACACTGGATGGAAATGGGGAAATTTTGCTGCGCTAGCAGATGAGTCTACCTTATATTTTGCTGTGAGACTCTTGACTTTACCATTCTAATTAGTCGGGCTATATGACAGAACACCACCCCTTCACATCTCGTGCAGAACTACAGGAGATCATGCCACATCCCTCGTGCTCCATTTCTGTCTCTACTCGGCCCTGTCGTTCCCCAAACGTACTCCTTACGACTATCCGATGAAGACATCAGGCTTGATTCGAAATGTCACTTGGTAAATATATACAAATCTCGATGTAAGCCAAAAGAGGAAATGTAGCTGTGAATTATATTTTGCTATTGTGTCGTTTCCATAACAGGTTTCTAAATTGTAAGCCAGGCACAACCCGGCTGATCTGATAATCTTGACTAGTTTTGGCTGGACAAACTCAAAATGGAGGCAGTAACCGATCGCCTTGCCTTTACAACTGTCACACCATGTTTCTTTAAATCCAATAGATCCTATCTTTAATTACATCTTCGCAGCTTCTTTAGCTATCTCTTCTCTAGTCAATCCTGGCGTCCCATTCTCCTTCTCACCCAGACGGCCCATCTTAAAGAGGGTATCCATCAATTTCTCGTCGCCGTAATGGTCATTATGCTGTGAAACGATATTAGCGATATGACCGAGCTCATGCTTTGGTAAAACTTGCCTCAAACTCCGGGTTTTCACCGTACGCTACTCTCGCAACATCGACCAAGATCCTCGCCGTCATACCCCATACCTTGTATCTCTCCATACCTGCCTCCTCTTCCTCCTCTAGCTGCTCCGCAATAGCCTTAAGCCCACCTTGTCTTACTTTGGGTTTAGTGACTTTCTGGTTGTTGATGGGGACATAGAAGTTGTGCACACGCCAGAGGTACCCATCATGCCAGTCGACCCAGCTGCCCTCATACCAATCGCTCTTGCTTCCCGGTACCGTCTCACCTTCTGGTACCTCATCCTCAAGCTTGAGGAAATTATGGAAAGGCGCTGAGAAGACTGCAGCCACCTCCTTCGCATCGAGAGTGGGTATCATCGCCTCTTCGGCGGTCTCTCCGTTTGCGCCATCGGAGTGGAGGAATGCTACGCAGGGACTCACCGCAAGCTCCGTCTTAGCCAGGTTAAATGGGAGTTGGCAGAGATGCTCTATCCTGATCGACTTTGGGAGTTTTGAGTCATCCATCGGCAAACCAATCTCCTCGAACGCTTCTCGGCGTGCAATCTGGAACGGTGTTTCTTCAAGGGTATCGGCTTTCCCGCCCGGTAAGGCCGCATGGCCAGAGTAGTTACGGAGCGAGGCAGCTCGCATAGTAACGACGACCCGGAGGTCGCCTTGGCGGTCGGCAAAGAGGAGGAGGAGGACGGCGGCGCGGCGGGAGACGGGGAGGTAGTTCCATATGGGAAATGGCGGTGGGACATAGGCTCGAAGCCGTGCAAGAGCTGCCTTTGACCGGGTCAGCATGTTCGGAGAAAGCATCCCGCATTCAGAAAATGTTGAGCTGGAATGGACTAACTGCGGCGGCTGGGGAAGCAGGGGCCATGGCTGAGTGGTCAAAGACGCTGGAGCCGTAGGGTAGTAGGTCGGAGCTGGAGGCGGTCTTGATGCTCTCTATAAGCTCTGTTACACCATCTGTGTCTAATAATCGGGTATCGGTTTGCCTGCTCTCGTCAACATTGATGTTGGGTCCGGCTTCCAGGGTACTCATGTTGGTCGTAATATGTATGATACAGCCTCGGCCTGTACCTCGGAAACCGCCTCCCATCTCTCATGCGGTTCGTAGGTTCGTAGTGGTTCGTAGTGGATAACATGGGATTCTTGGCAAGGCTGAGAAATGATAACAGCCTCGTCAACTATTGTCCTCTTAAACAAAATCCAATTGCTTCCTTTCATCTCCTCCTCCGCCCTCTATGTCTATATCCTTCATCTCGGCCCCATTCGCATGTCATTAGTACGACACTCCTGTTGCCCTGTTTTCAAGCGCCAATTCATCAAACATTGCATTTGCTGTTTGTTAGCTGGTAAGGAGTTTCTTTATGTGACACCACAAACAGCACAAACAAAGTCTTGGAATCACCTTGCGTCGTTTCCGGCCGGAGAACCACCTGCTTTCTGTCGTCGTGATTGCTATAAGTATATACGGAGCCATTCTCGGTCGTCAGTTTGCCTGACTGAGTTAGCCATGTGAGCTTCTTTGTTTTTGTTGTTGTGGGCAGTGTCTTCTTTCTTTATTCTAGCGTAAGTCCTGTCTCATGTCAATCCTTTCTGTCTCGCCCAGGTCACCAGCGACGCGACATGCTTTGGATCTTGGAATCTCTTTCTTTCTACCTTGATCATATATGATGGACGACCCACGCTCAAACGTAACTATGCATGATATCGCGTTGCATTTGCCTCTGATCGGAGGTCTTGAGATTGGACTTCCACCAGAACAGCCCTATATGGAGCGAATTCCACCCTACTTCGTCAACAAAGAGCTGCCACCTATTCCCAAGCTCGCGCCTGAACCGGGTTCGTTAGCACCTCCGATCCCTCCTTACAACCCTTTGCGCTTCTCGCGAGCCCGTTCGAATGTGTTTCCGACACGAGATACAGCGATATCGCCGCCCCTTGGCTCCACATCGTCCAAAGACTCACTGTCAAGAGTGCCATCTTTGTCGCATTCGCGACATGCAAAGTCACCAAAGACACTACGACTGCTTGGCCAGCCGAACTTGACCCTCAAGACGCCCACATACGGCCAGACAGACAGGGTGTGCCAGCTTACAGGCTATGATCTCGCATCACCAGTTGAACGCCGCCACGACCGTAAACTATCTACGGCCTCTGCATCAACATCATCTAGCTGCTACAGCGACCCTGAAGTCCACCTACTCAGTGATCGCGAAAGCAACGGCTCTGGAGGATATATCGGTCTTCACCACTCACCCAACATAGAGCCGCACTACACCCACAACAAAACTCTCAGCGCCTCATTCCCAAAAACCCAAAGACGCGTCTCAAAAAGATATAGCAAGACCACCATCGACGACCTTCTCCAGCGCCAATGCGCGCGCTTCCAACACGATGCCCTCTCTCCAACCAGCTCTCACGTCCATTCTCCCAACTACTCTACAGCGCAATCTCTATACTCCACCCCCGAAACGTCTCCCCTCCCAGGTGCACCACACGCTACCGAATTCACCCTTCCTCTCCGAATCCGCCCTTCTCAAAGCAACGAGGAACCAGCCAGCAGATTCAGCGATGCTTCAACTCCCCCTGCCTCCCCTACGACGCGTTTCTCAGCCGGCATACGCGATAGCGTGCTATCAATCGCCGCGCACGCACCGTTTGGGCACACGCGTGCCGTGTCGCGACTCTTGGAGAGGCGAGATGAAAACGCTAGCGAAGAGCTATTCATTGGAGAGGAGAGTTGTGAGAGTGGAGACGAAGCGGTGATGGGGAGTGCTCTTCAGAGATTGGTGGGGAGGAAGAGAGACGCTGCTTACGATGCTGAGATAGAGGGGAGAGGGAAAATGTCGAGGGGTGGGGGGTTGATGAGGAGAATTACCGATGCGGTGTTTCCTAGGCGCCCCATCCATAGACCCAGGAGTGATGAAAAGAGCGGCAGTGGGTTGGGGATTGTGATTCCTGATCATCGACGTAAGGTTGGTGGACCGGACACTCCGATGCCGGTGATGGGGAATGGGAAAGGATGGGTTGAAGGTGTTTTATCTAGGGAGGCGTCGATGAGGCGGCGACAGTCTGTTCGGGGGGCTATTGGGAGGGCGGCAGAGAGTCGGTGGGTTGTGGGTGGGGATGAGAGGAGGGAGAGGAGAAGGGAGAGATTGAAAGGTCAGATAAAGGTTATTGGATTAAAGGAGGTGCAGGGGGATGAGGAGATGGCGGAGCTAAGAATCTAGTGAATAAGTAGATATAATGTGGAAGGGGTAGCTAGATGGCATCAGACGTACAAAGCTCGCCAGGTATAGAATAATTTACGCTAATACACGTTCATAACTCATATCTTCATACACACTTTCCTCCGTAATGACATCCCCGAATAACACCAGATATACCCCGCCACAACTCCGCCCAATAGCCCACCCTCCAATCTACCTAACCCTTCTCAACCCAAACCTCTCCTCCACCCCCTCCACTAGCCTCCTTGCCTCCCCCAACACCTCCGTACCACCCCCTTCCCCCGCCAACTTCCTCCTCACATCAAAACACCTCAACAGCATCCTCGCGCGCCTCATATCCGGATCCTCATCTTCCCCATCCTCCGCCGCGAACGCGCCTAAGCTGCCACTCCGCGTGCCCGACGGGCCAGCTGGTGCCTTCCTCGAAGCCGCAGGCGAAGCTGGTGTCCCGGCAGACGATTTCCTCGCAGACTCAGGCAACCTCAGCGCTGTAGGAGTAGTCGAGCCCGACACAAAACGTCGCGACGCAGCGGCTTTTGCGCGCGCGATGGCGGGCGCGTCGGGGATGGAGAGGGTGCGCGAGGCGCAGCCATCGGTGATGGGGGGGGTGGGCGCGAGGCAGGATATCATGTGGATGGCTGCTGTTGGGTCCTGGGGGTGTTAGTGGAGTGTTTTGGGGGGGTGGAGAGGGAACGGACAGCTACGAAGAGGTCGCTGAGATCGGCGAGGACCTGGGCTGTTTGGAGGGGTTCTGGTGGGCTGGAGGTTGACATTGTGGGTGGGTGGTTGGTGTGTTGCGGTTGTCGAGGGTGTAATGCATTCGCGATCGTAGATGGAGTACGCGTTTATGTCAGGAAGATATCAGTCGTTGGAGAATATTTCGGATTTCACAATTGCCACTCCAGTCTTTCAAGGTTACAACAGGCGTCAATTCGGGAACGAAGTGCCGTGTCCGTGCCTGTCATCAGAGCGGACATGATTCCGCCGAAGCTCCATTGGCATCAATGCTCCACTGCCGCCGAATATATAGTGTGACTATCCCCCTCTTCGTCCTACACAACCCCCCAAACCCACATCGTATAAAAAAAAAGCATTGAGATAGCACAGCATGTCATTAACCTTTAAGCGCGGTCTGGCGACGGCGGCCCCCAAGTTGACAGGGGCTGTCAACTTTGCGAAGTACCCCAAGATCGTCTGCATTGGCCGTAATTACGCGTGAGTCTTCCCCAATCTGCCTTCTCGCCCAGTGGGGATCAACCAGTCCCAATCCTCTAAGAAAGGAGCATAAGGAAACACAGCTAATAGACGTCTTCCGCAGTGCCCACGCCGCAGAACTCAACAATGCGCAACCCAAGCAGCCGTTCTTCTTCCTGAAGCCCGCCTCCTCCATGCTCCTCCCCGGCGCCGGCCCCGTGCGGCGCCCCAAGGGCGTCGATCTACACTACGAGGTCGAGCTGGCCATTCTAATCGGACGTACCGTGAAGGGTCTTGCACCCGACAATATGAAGTGCGCGATGCATGCTATCGAGGGCTACGCAGTGAGCATCGATATGACCGCGCGTAACATGCAAGACGAGGCGAAGTCGAAGGGCCTGCCGTGGAGCATCGCGAAGGGCTTCGATACATTCCTACCCCTGTCCAATACGATTCCGAGGGAGGTTATAGCGGATCCGCATGCGGCGGAGTTGTGGTTGAGTGTTAATGGGGAGACGAAGCAGAATGATAGTACGGGGCTGATGGTGTTCCGGATCCCAAGGATCTTGAGCGATATTAGCAAGGTGATGACGTTGAGGAGGGGGGATATCGTGTTGACTGGCACGCCGAAGGGGGTGGGGAGTGTGAAGCCGGGAGATGTGATAACAGCGGGAATTAGATACGGTGGGGTGGAGATTGAGGAGGGAAGGATTGAGGTCACGGTCGAGGAGGCGAAGGGGTCGTTTACGTATGGGGAGACTTAAGAGCTGATTAGTGAAGGACATGGCGAGGAGTAACTGTACTACATATATATCACTGTTATAGAATAGCGAGCAATAGTAAAAACAGCCCTGCTTTTGGCATTGTATATACAAACTTCATTGGTAAAAAATATGTAATGTAAGCAAAGAATATATACCATCGAAAAAGCCAGCAGTTACGTAGAGAGGCAGCAGCCCGTGCTTACACGCCTACAGCCCATACCACGGTCCCACTGACCCCTCAGACGTTCAAAGCAACGCTGTGCCCGCTGGTCTTCATGAGCGCGTTGGTACCAACGAACGGCTCAGTGCCGGCCCCAATACTGGTAACGTACTGACTAGAGCTAAAGCCCTGACTCGACCCGAGGTACGTATAAAACGCCTTGAGATCGCCGTCGAAGCTGCTGATCTGGCTGGCCGCTACGAAGGAGTACACCTTCAGGAGCCGTTGGAGCCGTACCACAGGTTCCACTGGTGGTCAGCAACGGTGACCGACGCGATGGGAGAGCCGGTGGCGGAGATGGGTCCTGCGCCGCCGAGGGCCGCGAGCCAGATCATGAGCCCATAGTCGCTGGAGCCATCGCTGTTGCCGCCGGCGCTGCTACACGTAGGTTGTAGGCGACGTTGGCGACGATGCCGGTGCCAGTGTAGCTATTTCCGTGTCAGGGCCTACGCCGCAAAAGTTGAAATGTAAGATAAATAAGACGAGAACTTACGTGTACGACCACTTTGACGGAATCGACTTAATAGCAGACACCTTTTCCCCCGTGTCCTGCTTAAGAACCATGCTCGCCTTTTAATTAAGCTTGGAGCGAAGAGGTGGTGATGGAGATGAAATGTCCCCGTTTGTTTTTTATTGGACTTGGAGATGTTTACAGGTGCGTTTGCTCATAATGCAGTCTCTGTGGTGACATTCTCGTTTCTTCGACACAGGCACATATTCACTGGCAGACACAAAGATAGTACATCAACAACAGAGCAAGACACACCACAAACAACACACCCTAACATAGAAGCTCAGTCTCGATTCTCATCTCATCTCACCTCATCTTATCACTCCCTTTCTTTCGTACACGCATCCCCCCGCCTCGTCCATAAACTTACACCCCCACCCCTCCCTCCCCATCCAATCCATTGTTATCTACGATATACATCTCCCCCCCCCATTGATCCAGCCCCAGCCAGCCCCAGCCAGCCCCAGCCACCATCCAACAAGCCAGCCCGCAAGCCTAAGCCACGAAAAACAGCGATCGCTAAAAATGTAGCAAAAATCCAGATGATCAAAGTGGTATCAAACGACAACGACAACAGACAACGACAGCAGCAAAACAAGCAATTAAACACAAACAAAGACCACGGCCACACCAGGTTTAGTCCACTACCTCCGGCGTCGAGCGTCGATCTTTTGTCCAGGGAACACCCCCCCTTCTACTCCCTCCACTTCGGCTTATTATCCCCCCCGCTCGCACTCCCCTCCCTCCTCATCGCCCACCTCGTCCCCACAACCGCGGGACTCTCCCTCCCACTCGCCGCTCTACTATCCCTCCCCGTTGCCTCCCTCCCCCTCGGCTGCGGCAGCAAACTCGTTCTGCTCCCTCCATTCCCAGCACCAGCACCACCAGCTAACGAACTCCCCGGCCGTTTTGCCACAGCCAACGGACTCGTAGAGGGGCTTCTCTCTGGGCCCCCCTCACCAGAGATAGGTTGCATCGACGCACGTCTCGATACCGAGCGTCCCCCGGCTCCAGGGCTGGGTTGGACGCTTAATCGCCTTCCCGCTTTGAGGCCGCCGGGGGAGGACATGGGTTGTTGTGCATACGGCCCCGGGCTGGGGCTCGCCATGCGGTCTTTAAACGACGCTAGATTCTTCGTTCGCGTCGGTAACGGCGTCGTCACCTGCGGTATCCTCGGCGACGCCTCAGGCGACCCGAGACTCTCCCCCTCCCCCCCCAACGACCTCCTCAACGGGATCTTCGAAGCGCTCCCACTCCGCTCATGCGCGCGCTCAGCAAACGACGCGTTCCGGCCCCCCGTCGGCGTCGCACCGCGAGCGTAGGGACTCGGTGTCCCCACGCTCAAGGGTTTAAAGTTATGTCCCGTACTCCCATCCTCGGTCTTGACGCTGGAATTCCACCTCGGTCGCCCCGCCATACTCGCTGACGACAAGGAGAGGCGCAGGATTCGGTTCCCGGTTGGTGTGGCGGAGGACTCGCGCGAGGCAGGGGTGGGCGTGTATGTAGATTTTCCGTACCCCGAGGAGCGGGGCGCGGAGAGGTTGCGGCGGGGGTAGTTCCCGCTCAAGGGTGTGTGGCGGGATCCCGGTTGGGGGAGTCCGGTGGTGGGGGCGCGGGGTTTGCCTGCTTTGCCGGGGGTGGTTGGGTCGGTGCCGTGGGCGAGGTTGGACATTATAACCGAAGACGCTGGGGAGCTACCTGGTGTATCAGCCGCGGATCCAACGGTGGAAGAGCGGTCGTTGGACATTAGGCTCGAGACGGAGTCGCGGAGTTGTTGCTCGCGGCGCCCTACTTGCGCTGCTTCGACGGCCTTGTCCAGCTTGGCCATTTGGGATTTGAGGTCTTCCCATTTCCCCTGCATCTCGGAGTGGAGGCGGACGATCTCGCCGTTTACGGTTAGGCGGTCTTGGACGCCCTTTTCGATGATGCCGAGGACGCGCTCGATGGCTGGACCGTAGTGTGTCTTTTTGGTTTCGTAATTCTCGATCTTTTGGCCGAGGGTTGAGGCGTTTTGCGCTTGGGAGCCGTTGTCGAGCGCTTCTTGGAGTTTGAAGAGACTGCGGCCGACGGACTCGTACATCTTGTTCGCCTGACGTCCTGCCCCGCGGAAGACGAGCACCCAGCGGTCCTCACCCAGCTCGCGGCGTAGGGATGCGGCATCCTTCTCAAGGGCGGCCCAGCTGCTTTCGAGCCCGTCACGGCGCCCTTCCAGCTCGTCGCAGGCGGTTGGGAAGGTATCCTCAGCGCGTGCATGGAAGGTAGAGAGGCGCATTGGGAGGAAGTCGAGGGATGCCCTCAAGGGTTGCATCCGTGCGAATAGGGCGAGGAGACTCGAATCGTCGTGTGCCGTAGTGGGTGCGCTTGGTGAGTTCGGGGTTAAAGGGAAGGGCGCAGGAGCGACGCTGAAGCGGTTCTTCGAGTGTATGACCTTGGTAGGTGGTGTCTCTTCCACGATTGTTTCGAGATCTTTCAGATCGACGCCCTCTTCGCTGGCTTCGGCCAGGAGTGACTTGTGCCGCTTCTCCTCCATCTCAAACACCAGCGTACTTAATATATCCATCTCATATCCAATATCTCCCAGCACAACATTCCACAGCTCCTCCCACTCTATAGCCACGCCAACCTGTCCCTTGACCTCCGTCAGCGTCCTCCGTATCTTCTCCCACTCACTCAATATCGTCTCCACCTGCGTAACCACCATCGTAAGCTCGCTCGCCGGCACGGACGAGATGTCCGTCCTATTATGTAACTCCTCGATCGCGGTCACATACACGCTGATGAGCTGCTCGAATCGCACAATCGCATTATCCACATCCTCCAATCCCTCACGGCCACCCGCAGCGGCCCACTCAACATCATCATCTGCGTCCAGTCCGTCCAGCACCTCCGACGCCTTGGATACCCAACCCTTTATCTGCTCTGCCGAACCCATCAGCGCCCTCGCTGCCGCATGCGACGTTGGTATCGCTGACACCTTGCTAGCCAGGGACCCAGCATCCGGCAGCTGCAGCGACGTCAGCTGGGCCAATTGGTTCGCAAACGACACGCGAGAGAGCGTATATATCGAACCCGCACGCTGCAACCCAAACGGGTTAAAGTACGACTGCACATCCGCCGAGAAGTCGTCCTCGCCCGTCGGCAAATCAGGCAGGTCCTTTGGTAGCGGCATAGGCGGCGGCGGATCGTCCGTACGTTCTAGGTGCGCTGCTTTCGTGGCCAACGTGGCCTTGGTGCCATTGCCGTTGATATGCTCGGGGAGGCGGTACTTCTGGGCGTCCTCGTTGTCACCGAGCGCGCCGTCGTAGGTACTCATGTCGCTGATCTCGACCTTGGGGACGGGGGAAGGATCTCTCCTCGCTACTTGGTCCGCCGGAACGGCCGCCTTGCTTACGGACAGCGCAGCAGGCGGTGTTGGCGTTGCTACGGTGGCAGCTGTCGCGGGTGGTGTAAGGTCTTGTGTAGCGTCGCCTGCGCGGCGGTCGGCCGCAGGATCTAAGACAGGGAAGCCTGTCTCTGCGGAGCCGGTGATCTGTGGAGAGTTCCTGCTACTGCTAGTGCTGTTGGAGCTCCACGTGCGTCCGCGGCGGGGGACGAGGGAGCTGGTCGAGTTCGCGCGGTGCAGGGAGTCGATGGAGCGGATGTGGTCTTGGGGGATGCGGCCGATGTAGTCGTTGGAGCCTGATGGGTCGGTGGAGGACGGCGAGCGCTGCTTGGAGTCGGTGTTGAAGCCAAGGGCCTTGAGTCGCGCGGCCAATCCGGGGGATGGGCGGCGGGTCTGTCGTGGGAGGGGCGGTGGATTGGGAGGGCGCTCGTGGGTTGGAGTTGTTGAGTCGAGGTTGGGGGAGACGCGGCGGTCGGTGGTTGAGGTGGAAGTGGGAGTGGAAGTGGGATTGGAAGTGGAAGTGGAAGTGGTCGTGGTCGTGGTCGTGGTGGCCGTTGTTGCATGCGTGGGTTTTAATTCTGAGGATGATGATCCATGCCGTCGTAGAAGGGGAAGTACCAGAGACCCGATGGTCATGGTCACTCTCAAGGGGCCAAGGGATCCAAATCAGGGCAAAGTCATAATGGCCTATAAAGTAAGAGGAGAGGAAATGGGGAATGAGGAATGAGGAATGAGGATTGAGGAATGAGGAATGAGGAATAGGAATAGGAATAGGAATGAGGTATTTGGAGAATGATTCCAGGAGTAACTTACTCGTCTCGTTTATGGGGGACAATAAATTACTAAATTACAGCACCCACCCACCCACCCACTCGCCCATCAACCCTCATCTCATCTCATCCCACAAACATCACCAAAGACACGCCGATCTACCACTCCATCCTCAACTCTCGACAACTGTAAATACTCCCAGCATCTGCTCAACATCAAGCCAGACCCTCATATACTTCCTCTACACAAACTCACGCCATCACAGCCCACGACATCCCCCACTGTCGACACCGACAACAGTCAAACGGTCCACGCTCATGGTCCGCTTAATCTAAGCTCCAGCGTGTGTGCAATCTCCCTCACAAACCACGACAAACGTCGCCCATCCCCCATCCCCCATCCCCCATCCCTCACACCACAATCCCTCAAACCCTTTCATGCCTCTCCAGCGACCGACCATGGCGACAAAGGACACCGATCCCAGCGGAGATGTCTCCCTCCTCTCCTCCTCGCCCTCACCGCTGCTCTCCCCTACCAGCGCCGCATCCTTCTCCCCCTCCTCTCATAACTACAGCTCAACCCCCTCCACCTCCACCACCTCACCAACGCGCTCCGCCTGCCTCGGCCCCTCTCCCACCACCACCGACTCCTCGCGGCAATCCATGCCCGTCTACCCCTCCCGCTCCTCCTCCGCCTCCTACACCTCGCGGCAATCGATGGGTGGCCTCGAGCGCCCCAAACGGCGGGGTTACGTGCGCCCCCAGGGAACCAACTTCGCCGCCTCCGCCCAGTCCCGCGAGAGCGTCATGAACCTCGGCAGCATCGCCCATCTCCAATACTACTTCGCGCGCACCGGGCTCCTCGACGGCAAAGGTGGGCAGCTAGCCAAAAGGAAGGACCCCAACGGCCTAGACCTCTCCTCTCTCGAAGGCGGCCTCCTACCCCCAGGCCGAAGAACAAGCCACCACTCCGACAAAGACGGCTCCTATTCCTCCATGCGCAGCAGCCCCGACCTGACCCCCCGCCGCCGACACAGCGGTCTCGGCTCCCCCGGCCCCATCTCCGCCGAGCCAGACAGCTACGACTACGAGTCGGAATACGACTCCGACGCCTCGCACGCCGAGATGCTCCCCCCCACCGTCTCAACATACAACCACCGCACCAAACTCGTCCCCCGCCCCCCCACTTTCGCCGAGCTGAAATCAGACCTCGAGTCCTCCCTCCGCGCCGCAACCCAGGCCCTCTCCGAAGCCACCTCCCCCCCCTCCCCCTCCAGCGCCGCGGCCCCAGCCAAAAAAATTCCCCACCTCCGCACCCCCTCCTCCCTCTCCCTCTCCGGCTCAAGACGCCGCTCCGAATCCGACGCTACCGCCCTCCTCATCACAACCCCCGCCCCAACCAGCAACCCCTCCAACGCCTCTGACCCCTCCACGCGCGACCCAGACCCAAACCAAGGCTGGCACGAGCTCCAAGGCCTGCACATCCTCGACATCCTCACCCTCGCCATCCGCGCCGCGCGGCGCTACTACACATCCCACGCGCACCCGTCACGGCTCTCCTCCATCCGCTCCGAGCGTCGCATCCGCGCTGACCTCTTGGGTGTCATGGATGTGCTCCGACGCATGGCGACGCGGAATTTCGCGCACGGTCTCCGCGACGACGAGGCGAGGACGATCAGTGATTGGGTGAAGGGGGTGTGGGATATGCTCGCTAAGGAAGAGGCTATTGAGCGCGAGGAGATGGAGGAAAGGAGGGCGTGGACGTGGTTGGATGATCGGTTGTGGAAGGGGGGGGGGAGGTGGATGTTGTGCGGGAGATTGCGTTTTTGCGCGCGATGGCACCCGCTGCTTCGCTGCCGGATTATGCGCCTGTGGAGTTTCCGGGGGCGGGGGAGGGAGAGGTGAAGTTGGGACCCTTCTGGGAGGGGCTGAGGACGGGGAAGGTGCTGGTAGAGTTGCATAATGCGGTTGTGGCGCGCTCGAAGCGGCCGTTTGGCGCTATTCCGGTGTGGCATACCGACACCGCCAAGCCGTATCGGTGTGCGGAGAATCTGCGGTTCTGGATTAAAGCCGCCGAGTTGAGGTGGGAGGTGCTTCTTACGGTTGATGTTAGGGGGGTGGTGGCGGGGACGGAGGAGGGGGTCTGGAGGGGGTTTGAGGGCGCGGTGTGGGGGTGGGTTGGGCGGGTTAGGGGGGAGTTGGCGGCGGAGATAAAGGGGTAGGGGGGGGAGGGGATGTGATTGAATTTACAAATATTGGAGAGGAGGAGAAGGGGGAGGAGATGAGCCGGCATGGTACCGTTCTCTCTCTCTCTCCCTCTCTCCTCGGTGAGGAAGAGGTGGATGGAGGATGTACATATACGAGCAACACACACACGGAGGGGCCAGAGTTTAATTTCGACGATACCCAAGATTGCTAGCTAGCTAGATCACCTTACATATTGCCACATCAATGCCTGATATATTCTTGCTCTCTCTTGGCATCTCTCAGGTTATACCTGAGTTTCCCTACAAACACTCATTCAGCATGATAACACCTAACTCCTGCATAGTTTGGCAGACTGGTAAGGTCAACGAACGAAGGCTAGGCTTACTGCGAATGCATAGGATCCTGCAAATGCAATCCGTATCTCACTCCTCGCGTTCTCTATAACGGTGGCGGGTGCGAGGCGACGCGACTCTAGCGGTGACGACAGACATTAGCAGTGGCGAGAGAGTGTGATGATAGCAGTAGGCCCCCAGTAAACATCTGCAAGAAGCTCTGGCTCATGATCCTCAACAGCGGCTCTATTCGCCTCGAAGGGTAATTGCTTTTAATCGTATCAGAGTTCAAGGGAATATAATTATGCGTCATTCTAAGAGCACCAGACAATTTCTCCACAAAGCGACATCGCGCCGCACAGGGGCTCTCACACGCCTGAATAATACCAGCCTCGATAGAAGATAACACCGATACTGCTTTTACCCATCCACCAGTATAGCATACAACTTCGACTTCCTTCTCTAACAGTACACTGCACTACACTACACTACACCACAATTATCCAACCCCCCCCCCCCCCCCCAAACCTCCCCTCCTACCTCTTCTCCCTCTCAGCCTTCAAAAGCGCCTCCCTCACCCCCGCCCTCGCACTCCTACTCCCCCCCAACTTCGGCCCCTTCAACCCCTCCTCCTCCTTCCTTCCCTTCCCCACCACCTTCCCCCCTCCTTTCCCTCCTCCCCCTCCTGCTCCACCACCACCACCACGTCTCCGCTCCTCAACACCCTCGAGAAATTCCCGTCGGAAGCGCTCTTCTATCTCTTCATCCCCTTCTCCGTCACCAGTTGTGGAGGTTGTGGGAAGGGGGGGGGATTCGTATATCCCGAGACCGTTTTCTTGCATGATGGATTCGACGAGGTTGTCGCGCCGGATATCTTCTTCTGTCCTCCTCTTCTTCCCTCGTAGCGGTTTGCCGTCGCGCCCGAGGCGGGGTTTGCGGACTGCTGCTCGGGGAGGGGCGGGGGTGGTGGAGGGGGGGGGGAGTTCAATTTCCATTAACTTCCCTCTTGAAGCTGTTTGGTACGGTGGAGAGGGCTGGTGCTGTCGTTGCGATTGCGACGCCGTGGCGGCATCAGCGCCGGTGGTGGTGGCGGATGTGGATGGCGGTGTAGATGTGTCGGCGCTACTGATGCCAGCGGGTTTAAGGCGTTTCGCGAGTTCAGAATCTATATATGCCATCCTGGGTCATCAGTCTCTGCGTCACTCATACAAAAACCACGGAAAGGGGCGGGGGGGGACGTACATATGCCTATCAACACCCTCAGCACTCATCCCCGTCTGCGTCACGAATCGCTTCCCTCCCATCGCTAACCCGCCCTCCTCATTGTGCCCGTCATCATGCGATTCTCGCCGCACTACGACTACAGCGCCCTCACCCTCGACCTCCTCCGCGTCGTCGGCCCCGCGCGGGTTAGAGGCGCGGAACTCGACGCCCCCGCCACGCTGTCTGCGGGAGGCTAGGAGTCGACGGATCGCTGCTGTGGATGGGGCGGTGTCATCATCATCGGCGACGGCGACGGCGACGGCGGCGGTGCTGGGGGGTGATTGTGGCGGTAGTGCGGAGGATGTAGCTCCTTCGGCGGGGGAGTGTGGGATCGCCGTCGTAGGTGCGGAGGTGGCGCGCTGGCGGTAGATTTTCCGTTTTTTGGAGGGGCGGAATAAGGGAGGTTGGTCGGGTGCCGTGGGGGCGTCTGTGTACATTGCTTGCGCTTGCTTGTTTGGTTTTGAGGGAGGAGGTGAAGATATGGCGTTATAGAGAGAGGATGGAGGATGGAGAGATGGGATGGAAAAGAGCGGCCTGGATGATGTATGTGGAATCTGGGGACGGGCGCTAGGGAGGAAGCTAGGGCGAGGCTGGTGGGCGCTAAGATTGGGGTGGGTTTGCCGGATGGTGTGTCGGGGTATGACGGAGTGGGGAGAGTTTTGGATTGTTGCTTACTTGTTCAAGTGAGTTGATACGGTAAACAAACGACGGCAGTGGTTAATTTGAACTTTGGGAGAGACAAATTCTTATCGGAGAAGATTCACGATGAATAAAAGGGTATGGACTACCTCTGGCTGGCGGTTGAGTTTATTCTCTACTGAGTTTGGCGTCTTTCGGTAACGAGGCTGATATGTTTCATCCCACCAGATATCTTTCAGAATCCATGGAGGGATAGTTCAAGGTCAGCTGTTACTGCTTACTGTAGGAGAGCACGACTTATCTAACAGTCTCCAGGTGTATTCTTCCGGTAAACCCTTCCACGGTGTCAAGTAAACTGTGCAGCCACTGATGCCACCACAGCAAGCATACGCAGACGCGAGCTCAGGAGTTTGGGGTCACGGGCTGGATCCAGAATATCGCTGGTGAAAAGGTGTGCTCTTTTACTTTACCTATCCAGGTCCCATCTCTATTGGTGCCTTTGTGATGCCTCTCGTATCATACCATATCTAAGATCCAAAACATGACGGCATACTCACGAACCAACTAGATCGAAGGCGAAGCTCAAGGCGACGAAAATGCTCTGCAGGAGATGGTGAAGGAGATTAAGACCGGCCCGCCAAATGCAGTGGTTGTCAAGGTGGAGACGGAGGATATTCCGGTGGTGGAGGGGGAGAAGGAGTTTGTGGTCAAGAGGACTGTGAGATAGATTCACGTGCTTGGATTTCCAAGGCGGGGGGGACGGTAATGTAGGGGTGATGAGATGTGAGGATAGAGGCTTGAGTGTTTATTCCTACTCTGCTCTTGTTGTATTTGTCCATGGCCAGCTATATCGTGTCACCATTCTATGCATCTGTGGGTACCTACTCTGGTATGCTTAGTTGCTGTCTGTCTATGTCATTGGTGCATACAAGTATCAGAGTAGTGAGATGTATTAATTGAGGCTGACAGGGTTAGCACAAATATGTTGAGGGAAAGAGAATGGGAGCTTTTCCCCAGTGCAATCGTCGGGCTCCCCGATTGGCGCTTGGCGTGAGCAGATTGCCTCGGAACTCCGGCGCATTGGGTTTCAGGCCCAAACCCTTCTGTTACTCAGGGCATTTGGGTAGGCCCTCCGAAAAGACATAAATAATACGTAGGCTCCATAGGTAGTGTAGTAATTCAATTGATCTATTCATTCTATATACTGTAGTCTATTGTCGAGTTTTCCTGCCCGTTGCGCAAAAGCCCAAAGGTCCGGTCACCAAACACACCGCACGATTTGCGCGCGGTCGCGATATTTCGGGCCTTCCACCAACAGGTTATGAGCCCGGCGACGCTCAGGAAGCCTCGCATTTGAACCAAAGAATTGATTCCGAAGTCTCACATCGATAAAGTGAGAGCCTGAGCTACCCACCGGTAATACTCAGTCTAAAGAAGCCCGCAAAGTAAGCCATCGACTTGGCTGCGGCAGTTCAGCTCCACAAGCCGGAAAGTGATAACGGCTCACAAAAAAATGGAGTCGGAACACATCGAGAGGTCCCGGATCCAGAAGCTGTCTGGTCCGAACTATCGGAATTGGGCCCTCCAGATCCAGATCGAGCTTATCGACAGGAAGGTTTGGAGCGCTATCGACAACAAGTTCACGCTCGAATATGAGCTGGACAAGCCAAAAAAGGAAGAAACTGAGGAGGCTGCCGCTACACGCGAAGAACAGCTCGCTTTCCTCCGCGACAACAGGGCTAGGAGGATCATCCTAGAAAGTTGCATCCCGTCGATTGTCAACCGGGTTATAGGTCTCTCGACAGCCAGGGAGGTCTGGGACAAGCTCAAGAAAATGCACGCCCGCGACGGGCTGCAGCAGCTGGACTTAAAAAACGAGGCCTTCGGGAGCTACCTTCCGCCAGCGTCTACACCGGTATTTGACATCGCCACGATGTTAAACCAGCTCCAGGACGACATCGCAGCGATAGAGCCAGAAGACAGGCCCTCGGACTCGAGGAAGGTCAGCCGGCTCCTGGCGATTATGAGAAGCCGTGGCAGCAAATATGACATTGCTAGCGCCCAGATCAGGGCGGCAAAAATCACAGATTACCAAGACATCATCGACCAGTTTGTCGATATTGAGGAACAGACCAAGGTTTCAAAGTCGGTCACCGAATCTGCCCGGCAAGCCTCTACGGATACTGGAAGTACAAGGGGCAAAGGGGGTGGACGGGGCAGCGGAGGCAAGTCCTCTCAGAAAGACACCCGTACGTGCTATCACTGCGGGAAGTCTGGACATATTCGCCAGGACTGCAACGCGAAGAAGAGAGGAGAGCCAAAGACAGCAGGGCCATCGACTGGACCTCTCGCTGCCCCTGGCGGTGGAAAGGGGTTATCACCGCCTCTACCGGAGGAGGCAAACACTGCCAGCATCCAAGCCGCTCCTACTACTGAGACATCCTGGATCGCCGCAGTTGACAAACTCTGTGGCGTCGATACCCGATGGGTTAGCGACGTCCAAGCCCAAAGCAAGGCTTGGATTATGGACTCGGGCTGCTCCCGCCATATGACGTACGCCAAAGAGGCGTTCGTTGACTATATTGCCCTAGACAAGCCGATTCCGGTCAGATTGGCCAACGGGATGGAAATCCAGGCTGTCGCCGAAGGGACTGTCAGCTTCGAAATAACTGTCAAGGGCAGCAAACGTCGTATTCAGCTTCATGAAGTGCTGCACGTACCGAAGCTCGCTGGAAGCCTCGTCTCGGTCTCCCATCTCCAGGACAGGGGGATCATGACAAGGACGACCAGTGGCGGCAAGATGCTCCTTGAGCTTAGGGGGGAAGTTATCGGCGTAGCCGATCGAATTGGACGCTCTTACGTCCTCGACGGCACCTAGGAAGGCGCCGTCACTGCGCTGCGCGCAGTGGCGATGTCACCAAAGGAAGCCATGCTTTGGCATCGGCGCTTCGGGCACCTGAGCTCAAGGAGTTTGAGGCTGGCCCATACAGCAGTTGACGGACTGCCAGGGCTAATTGGTGACCTTGCGGACTCGTGTAGGGAATGCCTACTCAACAAGAGTACGCAGGTTATCAATCGGAAGGCATCAGAGCATGCAACGGCCCCCCTCAACAGGATCCACAGCGATATCTGGGGGCCGTACCGGACGCCGTCACTTGGCGGAGACAACGTCTATTTTGTGACATTTACAGACGACTACACACGGAAGACTTGGGTCTATGTCATGAAGTCGACAGGGCAGCTACGGGCAATTTTTACAGAGTTTAGGGCTCGCGTTGAGCTTGAGACTGGCCGAAAGATCAAAGTCGTACGCTGCGACAACGGCAGCGAATACAAGGCCCTCGAACGGGACCTCGGAAGTTCCCAGGGCATTCTGTTCGAGTTTACAACGCCGTATACGTCGTATCAGAATGGAGTTTCTGAGCGACTGAATCGGGCCTTGGTGGCCCTAATCAGGGCGATGCTCGCCTACGCGCGCCTACCTACAAAGCTCTGGGCTGAGGCGGTGATGGCAGCCTCCTATCTACGGAACAGGCTGCCAATCGGGCCTGAGGGCAAATCGCCAGAAGAGGCGTACAGCGGCAAGAAGCCGTCTGTAGCCCACCTCCGTGTCTGGGGTTGCGTCGCATACGCAAACCTCTCAAAAGAACAGAGGAACGGTGACAAGCTCGCGCCTAACGCGATACGGACTGCACTGGTTGGCTATATGGCAACCTCGAAACAGTACCGATTATATGACCCGGTTGGCAATCGGATTATAATCGCGACCTCAGTGAGGTTTGTCGAAGATCAACGGCTTGATCTTGACAATTATAACGAGGGGCCTATTGAGGATGTGGGGTTTGACCCCATGGAGGCCTACCTCGAGAGGGAGCCTTCTATAGAGGCTGTTGATCGGCGAAGCCATCAGAACAGTACTCTGATAGGGGGCCTGCACGATGCTGATGATGATATTCTAGTCAGCGATTTGCCTGATCAGGAAATGCAACCCCCTATCCAGGGGGTAACACGGAGCAGTGAAGGGTTACTGCACCCTATAGTGCCGCTACCACCGGTCCAGTCGATAGAGCGGGACGAGGACAAGGCCCCTAACGCTGAAAACGACGAATCTACTGGCCTCCCAGAAGAAGAAGACGACTCCGGATCTGCGACCGACCAACTCCTCACGGAGGCGGAGACTCTTGAGGAAAGCTCTCCTGCTGAGGATTTTAGCGTCCGGCGAAGCGATAGAGAGCGACGACCAACGAGGCCGTTCGAGGAGGCGTTTGAGGCGTCGTACGCTATACCTGCCAAACTGCTAGTCCCGGACAAATACCCAGAGGCTGTCAACGATCCAGAACATGGTGCAGACTGGACTCTCGCTGTCCAGGAAGAGCTCGCACAGCTCCAGTCGCTCGGGACTTGGGAGCGTGCGAAGCTACCGAAAGGAAAGAGAGTTCTGGGTTGCCGCTGGGTGTTCAATGTCAAATACACGCCCACTGGCCTTCTTGACCGATTCAAGGCAAGACTTGTCGCCCAGGGCTTCGGTCAAGTCCCTGGCGACGATTACCTTGAGACATTCTCACCGACAATTCGGGCTGAGTCTCTTCGACTCCTCCTGGCGATTGGAGCCTACGAGGACATGGATATTCGGCAAATCGATGTCGTAAGCGCGTATCCACGCTCAGACCTACATGCGGAGGTCTATATGAGGCCTCCTGAAGGTTTATATTGTCCGGAGGGCTACGTCCTACGGCTACGGAAGTCGCTCTACGGATTGAAGCAGTCTGGGAGAGAGTGGTACATTGAGGCCTGCAAAGGCCTCGGTGGGCTGGGTTTCCAGCCAATTTTCAGCGAACCAAGTGTCTTCACGACAGCTGATCGAAGGATACTGGTGGGTCTGTACGTTGATGATATGTTGATCATGAGCAAGGATCCGTCAGATATCGACCGTGTCGTCAAAGGGATCCAGGGACGCTGGAAGATCAAGGACCTTGGCGAAGTTAATATGATACTTGGTATCAGGGTGACGCGGGACCGCAAGTATCGTCGAATATTCTTGGATCAAGAAGGATATATCGACGAGATCGTCAGGCGCTTCCGGCTTGAGCAAGCAGCCCCGTGCTCGACTCCTGCGACGACTGATCGCGCAGCGCTCCTCAAGGGCGATGGCAGTGAGCCTGAAGCCGATCAACACCTGTATCAACGGGGCGTTGGATCCTTGGCTTGGGTTGCAGTCTGCACGCGCCCCGATATCGCGTATGCCTGGGGGCAGCTCAGCCAGAACTGTTCCAGGCCTACAGTACGGAATTGGAACGGAGTTCTTCACGCCCTACGCTACCTAAAGAAGACCAGGAGCTTACGACTTTCCTTCGGAGGAATAGGGGGCGATATGCCCCCCTATCTACGCGGCTACAGCGACTCGGATTACGCAGGCGACCACACTGACCGACAATCGGTGTCGGGTCATATATTCATGTTGAATATAGGGCCGATAAGTTGGACTTCGGCGAAGCAACGATGTGTCGCGACGTCCACCACTGAAGCCGAATATATCGCCCTTTGCGAAGCAAGCAAGCAAGGCCAGTGGCTTCGCACGCTCCTCCAGGAAATCGGCCGACAAAAGCTTCTCGGTGGATGCAGTCGCCAGGTCCAGATCTTCGGCGACAACCAAGCCAGTCTGGCGATCGCTTCAGATCCAATGTCTCATCAGAGGACGAAGCACATCGACGTCCGTTATCACTACGTACGACAGCTGATTGCCTTTGGCAAGATGAAAATCGATTACGTTTCAACAGCGGATATGCCAGCCGACGTTCTCACGAAGCCGCTGCCGCTCCCAGCGTTCATGCGCTGCATCCGGGGATACCTGGTGCAAAAGGCCCTATAGGGGCCCCGAATCTCCATTCCCCCCGCAAGCGAAAGGAGACAGTGATCTCCGCGAAGGACTGCCGTCTGGCAGACGGGGCCGTTCGCCGCCTAGGCAAAAGCCGTACGTCGCAAGCGCAAGCCCGATGCAGGCGGAGATTTTTGGGGGCGTCAAGCCCTCAGTACCCTCAGCGATCTACTTTTGGGGCTGCTCTTGGCGCTCGAATCGCGGCCGAGAGGAGCCACAATGGTTTGTATACAGCTGGTGCTGGTGAGGGTGTTTGTCGATGAGATATATCGACGACAGGGGGCTGCGGTGAGAATCGAACAGCAGCAACACCGCTACGACGACAGGAAAAGCGTTCGGTGGCAATACCGAATGCAGCAAGAAGCCGGTCCAACACTGAGTCTTCAACTCTGTCCATTAAGGACAGAAGAAAATGACCCAGTTGGTCGCCCCCGCAACCCTGGCTTACTCCCGCGATTCATCGGAGTCGGTTTGAGGAAGGAAGGGCGATGGGAGGAAGGAGGTTTCCTTGGTGATATCGAGTTTGCTGACCTGTTACTTCATTTTTATCACTTTCCTACGAACTACGTAAGGGGGCTGTTGAGGGAAAGAGAATGGGAGCTTTTCCCCAGTGCAATCGTCGGGCTCCCCGATTGGCGCTTGGCGTGAGCAGATTGCCTCGGAACTCCGGCGCATTGGGTTTCAGGCCCAAACCCTTCTGTTACTCAGGGCATTTGGGTAGGCCCTCCGAAAAGACATAAATAATACGTAGGCTCCATAGGTAGTGTAGTAATTCAATTGATCTATTCATTCTATATACTGTAGTCTATTGTCGAGTTTTCCTGCCCGTTGCGCAAAAGCCCAAAGGTCCGGTCACCAAACACACCGCACGATTTGCGCGCGGTCGCGATATTTCGGGCCTTCCACCAACAAAATAATCATAAGCATGATTATCACATGATGTTAGAATCACGTGGCCTAAGTAATTATCAAGTATAACGTACATGTATAGCGAAAGCGCCAAACAAGCGAAAGCGCCAAAATTATGCGGTGACCAAACCCCCCAACTAAATGTTAAATTCCTCAACAACAAAACATGCCCCATAAAAACGATGAAAGCCAATTAGTGCTAGCTATCCAGGCTATGCAAAGCGACCCAAAGTTACGCCTTCGAGTTGCTGCTAGGATCTATTCTGTGGACCACCGCAAGCTAGGTCGTCGTCTAGAAGGTGTACCTTCACGACGCGATATCCAAGCCAACTCACGGAAATTAACTAACCTAGAGGAGTCCGTCCTTGTTCAGTATATACTCGACCTAGCTGCCAAAGGGTTTCCTCCTCGGCTGTCTGTTGTTGAAGATATGGCAAGTCGACTACTTGCAACACGCGACGCGTCACGCGTTGGGTCGCGTTGGGCTTCAAACTTTGTTAAGCGGCGTGTAGAGCTCCAGACACGCTTTCAGCGCAAATACGACTACCAGAGGGCTAAGTGCGAAGATCCAGAAGTTATTAATGGCTGGTTTGAGCTTGTGCGTAACACAATTGCGAAATATGGTATCGATGAAGCAGATATCTACAACTTTGATGAGACTGGGTTTATGATGGGCGTTATCTCAACTGCTATGGTTGTAACAAGCTCAGACGGGCGGGCAAAAGCAAAGAAGGTACAGCCTGGTAATCGGGAATGGGTTACAGTAATCCAAGGCGTTAGTTCTCAAGGTTGGGCAGTACCACCATTTATCATTGTTGCAGGCAAAAACCACCTTACATCTTGGTATGAGAATAGTGGATTTTCAAGCGATTGGGTGATTTCTGTTACTGAAAATGGCTGGACTACAAACGAGAGAGGCATGGATTGGATTCAGCACTTTGAGAAGCATACAAAGGCCCGGAGTGTTGGTGGTTATCGCTTGTTAGTCCTTGATGGTCATGAGAGCCACCACTCAGATGAGTTTGAGGAGTACTGCAAGGAACACAACATTATTACGCTTTGTATGCCTGCTCACTCTTCTCATCTACTCCAGCCACTTGATGTTGGCTGTTTCGGCCCGTTAAAGCAGGCCTATGGTCGGCAAATTGAAGATATGATGCAGGCTCATATTTCTCATATTACAAAGGATGACTTCTTTCCTGCCTTCCACACTGCATTTAACACTACAATGACGGAAAGTAACATTCGAGGCGGGTTCCGAGGGGCAGGGCTTCTTCCATTTGACCCTGAGAGAGTGATATCTACACTTGATCTTAAGTTAAGGACACCAACGCCTCCAAGCTCCCGCCCAGGTACTGCTCAACCTTGGGTTTCTCAGACACCAAACAACCCAATTGAAGCTATGTCACAGTCTACATTTATTAAAACTCGGATTTCACGCCATCAAAATAGCTCTCCAACCTCAATCTATGCAGCTGTTGACCAGTTTACAAAGGGTGCATCGCAAATAATGCATCAATTAGCACTGCTAAAGGGAGAGAACCAAAACCTACGACAGGCAAATGAAGTACTAAGCAAGCGCCGGAGAGCTAGGAAAACACGACTACAGCAAGGAGGATCACTTAGTCAACAAGGGGCGCAAGAGCTACAGGATGAGAGGGATGTTGTGCAGCAGGTAGAGCAGGAAATAAGGGCAAGCCGTGGTCGGAAGCCAAGGGAAGAAACCCGTGCCCGTCGCTGTGGCAAGTGTGGTGAGACTGGGCACAATGCGCGCACGTGTCAGATTGTAATAGACACCTCTGAGGAAGAGGACTCCGAGTAGTTTCAATTGATTTCTAATGTTGTGGTAGATTTATCGCAATGTTTGTCGTGAGGGTAGATAATTTTGGCGCTTTCGCTTGTTTGGCGCTTTCGCTATACATGTACGTTAGGCCTTAATTTCATTACTATTATTAATACTATTTTAGTATACAGATTATCTCAGAAGCGTCTTCGTATAGTAACACTGATTGGCTGTCAGAATATTACCTTCCGGAAATGCTACTAGTATGGGCTTGGCAGTAATATCATACTACGAAGCCCTTCCCTAGCCACATTATTAGCTACATAAGACAGTATGGGTCAGTCTAAGACCCTTTTACATTATTATCTCGTTAAGTCGATGTAATTAGTCATGCATCAATATATCGAGTTATAGAAATATCGAGTTAGAAAGTGATCTGAAGTAGACCCGAAGTAGCCCCTCAGCTAAACCATCCATCCAACCAACGTGCCTTGAACCAACTCATTGGCCTGTTTGGCCACTAATTGCCTCTACACGTGCTCTAAAGAGCGCAAAAATGATGCTGGATCTGTGATGCCACTATTCTCAGATTCTGAGAACTCAATCAGGACTTGGAGGGCTTGTACAGCGTTCTGTGTGGTGAGCATAGGACTCTGGGGCTCCTCATCGTCATCATCTTGAGCATCGGAAACCTGTATATATGGAGCCATCGCCTCCTGTAGAATTGTGTCCTCATCTAAGCCTCCCTCCACCTCTTGTATTCCCTCCTCCACTGGATTCAAAAAGTTCGAAAGGTCCATAGCGTCTGATATATGACCAGTTTGTTGTACTCGAGTATATAAGTCGTTTAGAACAGGGAGTGGGTGTATAGGAAGCTGTATTGGGCCATGATCGAATAAGCCAGCGAATTGCAAAGTGTATTGTCATTGTTTTGATTGGATCCAGGTTGTTGCTAAAAGATTCGAGCATGAACTCGAGCCATTGCTGACGATAATAGCTTTTTAAAGAGGCTATAATACCTTGATCGAGAGGTTGATATCGACTGGTCGCATTTGGAGGAAGCCAGATAATTCATATGTTTGGAGAAGGAGGCGTCGATTCCACTGCAGCGATATGGGCTGAGAAGTTATCCATTGTAAGCAGTATAGAACATGACGTACCAATATGAGTATAGAAAGCATTTAGCCAATCTGCCATAACAAATTGATTCATCCAAGCCTTCTTAGTCCACCTCCAAACCCGACCCATTGCCCCTACATCAATGTGTTGTAAAGCTCGAGGCTTTTTAGCCTTTCCAATAAACCAAAGAGGAAGTCGATCTGTTCCAGCAGCATTAACACAAATGGCTACTGATATGCATGCTTTGTCCTTCTTCTGTCCTGGAATTGATCATGTCGTAAAGCAATTTGAAGGGCTCATCCTCCAGTAAAGCCCAGTCTCATCCATGTTGTAAATATTGTCCTCTAAAAACTCCCCCGCAATAGTTTGTATAGCCTTCATTTGTTCTTATGCAGTGATACCAATAGATCCAGCTTCGCCATGTAGAGTTCGATATAATATATTATGCTGTTGTCGAAACTTTACGATCCATCCGTAGCTAAATTCTGGCATAGGTAGTCTACGGTATTGTGGTAGCTGATTCTAGATAATCTTCGCCTTTGATTGTAAGATTTCAGTAGTTGTAATGCCGCTACGCTCTTCAATAAGCCTCTGCCAGTCGTAAAGAGCAGCTTCTAATTCAGGCCAGGCGGCAGCACGGCGACGCTGAGCTTTAGAGCTGTTTGTTTCCAGAGTATTAGAAGTATCGTCAAGGTCCAAAAATCGAGAGCTAAGGGATTCTGAGACTGTAGATTGGCTAAGTCGACGATTGTATTTCTTGAGGAACCACTGTATAGTGGCCTTTTGTGTAGGTTTCAGATGGTGAGATCGATGCCAGGTTCGGAGGGCCTTTCGTTGTTCGAGAGACATAGAATAAAGCTTTTTCGAAGGCATTTTGCAGGTATTCTAAGAGTAGTCCAGTAATTAGTTTAAGTCGATAATTGGGAAAAGGGACTCAATATCGTGTGTATCGTGATTTGTATGACAAATGGAAGGATCCGAAGAAAGTTATCGAGTTATCCAGAAAATCGACTAATCGTGTATCGACTTAACGAGATAATACTGTATACGATTAATCCTCTCCAATGGTCACGAAAAAAGGGCCGGCCCCCCTAAGGTACTTAGCCACGAGCGGATACTTGGTAGTCCGCTCGTGGCGAAGTAGCCGCAAGCGCCCAAGAGCGACAGCGCCAGACAGCATTCTGCCAGGAAGCGGTGGGGGTGTCGGATGCCTTAGCTCGGTGTACCCAGGTGGAGCCTCAGGGTTAGGGGTCCACGACCGACTGAACAAGGAGTTATGAGTATTTACACCTACGACATACTTTCAGAATGAAGGCAGAATGCAAAGGTTACGGAGGGTCTCACAAGGACCAGTTGTTCAAGATATATATTTTTCGTCTCTAAGTCTGATTTCGTGCACCATCCCCATACTTTGCTAAGAGTTAGTGGTTGACAACCGCCTGCCACAGGTTGCACGTCTCATTCGTTTTCCAGCCTTTATAGTTAAGACTATCTAGGACCTCTCTAAGTAATCTGGTATTATATCTAGCAGCGGGGTCCCTTACACTCTCTGCGAGCATATCCTCGGCCACCTTTCTGTAGGCCATCTTCTGGGCACGATGCTTAATAGTGTTTCTCACTTCAAAATACAGCCACTTCCGACACTGGGCCAGGAATCTTATCCTCTCACCTAGAGGTAAACAATCTATCTCGTCCCGAAGATCCCCTGCAAGGCCTCCTCTTGTCATTACTCGTTGTTCGATCTCGCTCGTTGTCAACTCGTATGCTTTATTTTGCACGAGGACCGCCAACTGCATGTCCGTAATGGGCTCCTTCATGGCAATCATCTGACCGGTCGTTTCATGTCGCAGTTCTATTTCTCCTCGCAGGTATCTTGCAACTGACTCCGCCATCGTATCGGTTATGGATGCATATGTATGTGTCTTGTCGCCACGTTGCACGGCATCCACTTCTTCTGTGTATAGAATGGTCATAAACTCGCTGAAGACCACTCCATCTGAGCACCGCAGCTCAGGCTCGGCCGGTCTCATTCTCGGGCTACGGATAAGTGCTGTGAGCTGGGGTGGTAGATGGACCAGATGCGAGAAGTACTTGTTGCCGTATAGCTCTGGTGCCAGAGACGCAGCGGTAAGGTGAGCGAAATCATGCAGGTCCCACAACAGAGACACAGCATCCAACAAACTTTTGCTATCAGCGGCAAAATCTTGCGGACGAACAGCAACATGATAGGGACCGAGGGCTGATATAGCTTTTGGAGGAATGAGTCTGCCGTGTTGTTCGACGGTGATACTGAGACTGTTGATAAAACGGTGGACACCATAGTTGACGGCACGGATGACGTTTGAATTCGACGAGAGAAACGTAGCGATGGCATTAAAGTCATCCCCCTTGTTTTCTATTCCAGGCAGGAACTCATCTCGGCATTCGCAGCGACTAGCAAGGTAAACGACGCCGTACTTGTGTATGGATACACCAGCCCTCCAAAGAGTCTGGTGTTTGGCCAGAGATGGAAGGAGTGCCTGAGATCCCGTGCGCTCGTACAGTAATTGACACCCTTCCAGAACATATCGGAGCAAGTGGTTCTTGAACGCCCTGGCCCAGAACTGGATCTTCTCGGCATTGTCAAAGTGAGGATGTTCGGGATAGTGACCGTCTAACCACTCTGTCGAGGGGTCGAAAGAGGCAGGCAGGTCTTCAAATAAACTCAGTTGGCCTTTTGAATCTATGGAGCATGGGTTAGTTTGTTTGATGGTGTTGCTAGCAGCAGTATCTTTGGAAAGATTGGTTGCGTAACGCATCTTGAACCTGAGATGCAAGATGGGAATCATGGCCAGGAGAATATCAGTGGTGAGCACAGAGATACGGTAAAGGCTTCCTCGATCAGTGTAACCACCCTTCCCCATCCCTCATTCAGCCGAAGGTTGTCTACAGAGCCCGCCACGTCCAAATATCATTTACTTGTAACGTTACTAACCACAGTATGTTGGTTATGAAGTGGGTCCTAATGCACCAGCCTGATGTCCCATGTTCCAACTGCATTACATGACCCTTCCAATCTCCCAACTGCTTTAGTTTTTAGCTACTACTGCTCAATCTACCCCACTGGGTTGATCCTACAGCTGTACGTGGACGGGTCAACGACATATCGTAGAGGCTTAAGCTGCGTTGAGACGTCTCACCAGACGTATCAAGTAATAAACACCTATTCAAATGATAACACCAAGACATCTTGCAGTAAGCACGTTACAGTATGTGTAAAATACTAGATTGAGTTGAGCATAAAGCTCCTATCTAATAACTAACTTCGACTTCTATAGTGGCGTTGTGCCTAAGGATATCGCAGAATATCATGGATATGAGATATCCATGATATCGTTGTTGTCCTACGACTTTGGCCAATCGTGAGAGCCATCGCCTTCTCACGACCAGAGGTCGAGTGAGCTGACCATTAATCCCCAAGAGTCCTCTGTCCTCAAGACCCGACGTGGGGGAGTCATATTGAAGTGAAATATGGCTCATCAACTGCGACAACTTTGATATAGGCTATTAGAGCTAGAGTTACCGCAGCTACTGGCACTAGACTTGCCCTGTTCCTCATTAAGGGATTTAAATTGTACTCGTTCTAATTACAAGACCCAAAAGAGCCCTGTATCAGTATTTATTCACTATTTCCGTGTGTCGGGAATGGGTAATTTGCGCGCCTGCTGCTTTCCAGCCGCTTCTCAGACCGAAATAGCCCCGTTACTGTGACCAGGGTTGCATGCTGGCAATCTTCTATATATGGAACCAAAGTCCAAATTTTTGCCAGTTTGTCCATCGTTTCCAACACCTGCCGTATCCATCTCTAGCGGCAACGGTTTTCCATGCCAAAGCCGTGACCTGTTTGTGTTGCACGAGGAGCGCGTAATACGCACTCGTGATTTGCACGTTCGGTCTTGGCGCATGCAGGAATTTTCACTCGGCAGACTATGTCTGTAGCCACATATACAAGCATACTACCCTTATTCCGGGTCTTTTGGGGGGCATTTGCGGTGTGATCTAGCATGGAATTTCGACGAGTTGCACCCATTGCGTTTGTTAATCAGTCGAGCGAGGCTGCCATGCAACCAACGGAAGCACCGACAAATGAGTTGTTAGTGTACAAGCAGGAGATAGCCAACGGCCTCGATGGAGGGTTCAAAGCGTGGTCAGTGGTACTCGGCGCATGGTGCTGCCTTTTCTGTGCATTTGGTTGGGTCAATGGCAAGACTTCCCGGCCCATTCAAAGAATCCAGAAGAGACGAATCTCTAACAAATTTGGATTCTTACAGCTGTTGGCATTTTCCAGGACTATTATATGACGCACCAGCTAAGCAACCATTCCTCGTCGAGCATTGCCTGGATCCTCTCACTCGAGCCCTTTGTCCTCTTCGCCTCTGGAATCGTCATTGGCAAAGTCAGTGCTGTAAAACTCTTTCTACGGCCATTCGAACATGCTGAGACCCCGATAGGTATTCGACAGTTATGGGCCCCAGTGGCTCCTTGTCACGGGAACATTTTTGCATGTCTTCGGTCTTATGATGACATCGATCTCCTCGGAATACTATCAATTCGTACTGGCTCAAGGTATCTGTAGCCACTTGGAGCAAGCTTTGTTTTCTATGCGGCACTATCTTGCACAGCCACCTGGTTCCAGGAGCGCCGAGCCCTTGCTTTTGGCATTGTGTCGAGCGGCTCGTCTCTAGGTGGTGTTGTGTTCCCGATCATGTTGGCCCGACTGATGCCAATAGTGGGCTTCGGGTGGACGTTGCGCATCTCAGGGTTTGTGGTTTTGGCTCTGCTTCTCATCGCTAACCTAATGGTTCGCTCGAGGATCAAGCCCATCCCTCGGCCCTTTAGATTCAGCGACTACACTGACCCCTTCTCCGAACCGTGCTTTGTGCTACTCACGCTGTCGGCAACCTGTGGATTTTTCGCCATGTTCATCCCAATCAACTACATCGTGCTCGAGGCAGGTGAGAATGGGATAGACGCCAACTTGTCAAGCTACTTACTGGCAATCCTGAACGCTGGCAGGTCAGATCTACTCCTGCCTCCGATTTCACAACCTCTTCAGTGCTGATTTTTTGGACAGTCTGCCAGGTCGTATTCTGCCAGGATACTTTGGCGACAAGCTGGGCCGATTTAACGTCATGATTGCTATGTGCACCTTTTCCGCACTAGTGCTGCTTGTCATGTGGCTCCCTGGAACTCTCCTTGCCCCTGGCTCCGCGGCCGTCTACGTTGTGGTCAGTCTACTCTACGGCTTCGCTTCAGGAGCCTTTGTAGGAATGGTGCCGGCGCTATTGGGCCAGATTTCTCCCGACATTACGAAGATTGGGGTGCGACAGGGTGTCCTCTTCACATGTATCAGCTTAGCGACACTAACAGGCAGTCCTATCGCTGGTGCAATCCTCATTCGGCAGCGTGAGACCTACTGGGGATTGCAGGTCTTTGCGGGCGTAATGATGACAAGTAGTGTTCTGTTCCTGATTATGGCTCGGACAACACTGGTGGGCTTTACTTTGAAGGCGAAGGTGTAGATTATTAGGTTGGGAATGCTACATAGAGATGGAAGGGAATGATGTAGAGATAGAAGCAGCATTCCTTGTGAGTATTTTCAAATAGATAGCGCATCCTACAATTCTCGCCTTTGTCTTGCCGCAGCGAAGAGTTCCGCCTGCTCTGTGGTACTATAACACTCATCATCCCCATGCACTTGACTATATTCATCGCAAAGTTGGGCAAGATTGATGTCCTGTGTGTCAGGCCCTTCGGCGTATGGGTTGTCCACCGAATGGCTACCTTATTATAAACCTGCAAGCGTTAGCTACTGTTGGAGTTGAGATATAATTTGATTTTAACACAGACATTGCTCCATTCTGGATGATGGCCAAGTGCGGCAGCCTGGTCGGCAACCTGTCCTAGAAAACACTTGTGAACACGAATTAGCACAGCCTAACCCGAAGGTACTCATGTGGTTATGTAGTTCAACGTCAAGCATGTCTAGGGAAACCAACCCAAGCGGCCTTGAAGGTCTGGAACTGTATTTCTCTCTCGATCCCGGTCCCATCCTGTGTCAAAGTCCATAGTGGAGGAGCGATAATTATTCAAGGAGTCCTAATGGTCATGTAGGACGAGGGTAGGGGGTTGTCTTGATTAGTCAGCGACATGTGTTTTGTTTCGCTCGGCCATTCAATGAATCACTCCCTCACTTTCAGGTCACTTTACAATTTCGCCTGCCTGAACAAATACTCTTTATTCCCCGCCATGGCCGACCTCGTCATCTTCGATTTTGATGGCACGCTCTTTGATACACACCAGTCTATCGAGCACACAATCAAACTCACCTTCGAAACCCTTCTCCCCAATTACGTTCCGCCACAAGATGAGATTCACCGCCTAATCGCGTGCGGCGCTGGCCTGTCTGACACTTTTCGCGTTCTGCACCCGGACACGACTATCTTTAACTCGTCTGAAGAACAATGGATCACCAGATACCGCGAACTGTACAGTACACATGGTCAAGGCTTGATTAAGGCGTTTCCCGGCGCGAAGCAGCTACTTGAACACTTCAAGACGCACGACATCCCCATCTCTATTGTGAGCAACAAGGGCGTCGTAGCCCAAGACCGCATTAGACCGAAATGGACTTGGAGGTTACGTCCCTGAGGGACTGATTGTCAGTGATAAGACCCCAGGTGCCGAGAGGAAGCCGCATCCAGCCAGCTTTACAAGTGTGCTAGTGCCGATGCTGAGAGAACTTGGCAAATGGCGGGATGGAGCGGACGCCAGCAAGGTGCTAGTAGTAGGTGATACGGTCGACGGTATTCAGTTTGCGAAGAACATTGGCTGCCGGGTGTGTTGGTGTCGGTATGGTTATGGCGATCAGGAGGCGTGTCAGGCGTTAATCCCCGATTTTGTAGTTGACTCATTGGCAGATGTGGTCGGTATTCTGTCTATATACTAGGCCTATGGAATTTGATGAACTGCTAGAGTGTATAAGTGTTTCCTGCTGTGGTAGGAAGAGAGCTGGAGAAACTAATGCTTTTTTATACGGCGGAAAAATAAGCTTATTTTATCATTAAAATGGACACAGCTACTTCATACATACTCAAGTAATGACGCCAAAGCCCTGTTGATGTAATCTGACACTTTCGCGCTCACTATTGAGTTGTTTGATTCGAATGCAAATCAGTGTGCGGCGAATCACCTCTCGAATATTATTCGGCCATTCGCTATTATTTATTTGATGTCTATCGCTCACCTTCGACTGATTGTTGTCTTGGCGGCTCATAAGTGGCTCGCATGACTGCCACTCAGGTTCGTCTGATCTCCAAGCGAAAAGAGGGGGTTGGTCCATCCGGGCCGCTCCGATAGCCGTGTGGGGCTTTGCACAGTGGCACGTGCTCGCCACGATACTGTACTCGTGCGGCCCAAAAGTCTGTACAGGGTCTGTGCACGGGAGGTGGGGCAATTGTAAGTACAGTCGAGTCGCGATAAGTCGATACAATCCGTGCAGCTGAAATATATAGACTTATCAAGAATACCGAGTTATCAAATGCCAAGCTATTACATAATCCATTGATCCAATGTGCCCTGTGCCTGTAGTGATGCCCGCTTCGCTGTCAAAAACCGTTCAAAGCGCTCAAATGAGCGTAAATGTGCTGTATCAACCCCATCTTCAGACTCTGCATACCCAATTAGAACTTGGAGAGCTTGCTGAGCGGCCTGCATTGAGTACACTGGCTGTTCAGGTTGCTCCTCCTCTTCATCTTGAGTATCCCTTGTATATATTGTGCTAGAACCTCTTGTAATATATCATCGTTGCTGCCATTGTATTCCCCCTCTTGTAGTGATTCATCTGCTGGATTTAAGAAGTTTGAGAGGTCCATAACGTCGCGAATATGCCCAGCATTATTAACTTGACTGTATAGCGTATTAAGTGAAGGGAGCGGCTCTGTAGGCAGTTGTAATGGATGAGCAACAATAGTGCTTTTGCGAAAACAGTTGTAAATAGTTGTGTTTGTGACATCATGATACCAAGCACGGATTATCCAACGAAGTGCAAGGTGAAGAGACATGAAATCTAGAGGGTCATTGTTGTTCTCAAATGACACGAGCATGAATTCAAGCCATTGTCGACGGTAATGGGCTTTAAGAGAGGCAATAATGCCTTGATCAAGTGGTTGGAATCGACTTGTAGAATTTGCAGGTAGCCATATGATTCGGATATTCGAAGGCGGAGGAGCAATTTCAATAGCTGCAGTATGTCCAGGGAAGTTGTCCATTGTAAGGAGCACAGATCTAGAACTCCCTATGTGGAGGTAAAACGCTTGTAGCCACTCGGTCATGATGTATTGATTCATCCATGCCTTCTTATTCCATCTCCACTCTCCTCCCATTGTTGAAATATTAACGTTTCGTAAAGCGCGTGGCGCTTTTGCTTTGCCAATAAACCAAGGGCGGAATCGATCTGATCCTGTAGCATTTGTACAGACTACTACAGTAATGCGTGTCTTATCCTTTTTCAATCCAGGCCTTACTTGTGATGAGAGGCCCCTCGATGGTGTCATCCTCCAGTAGAGCCCTGTTTCATCCATGTTGTAGATGTCCTCCTCTTTAAAGTCTCCTGCTAGTGTTTGGATAGCCTTCATCTCGTCTTCTGTAGTTGAACAAACTGAACCTGCTTCGCCGTGTCTAATGTGGCTTTTGATCTGATACCGCTTCTTGAAATTGTCAAGCCACCCAATACTAAAGTTTGGTATAGGCTTCTCCTTGTATTGTGGTAACAACTGCCAGATCTGTTTTGCCTTCTCTTGTAGAATATCCCCAGTTATTATCCCTCCGCTTTCGTCAATACGCTTCTGCCAGTCGAAGAGAGCAGCCTCAAGCTCTGGCCAAGCAGCAGCTTTTCGCCGTTGGGTAGTGGGAGAGATGCTTGAAGTCGGGCTATCAAGGCTAGCAAATCGAGAGCTCAAGGAATCAGAGACTGTTGACTGGGTAAGGCGGTGATTATATGTTTGTAAGAACCACTCAATACAGGCTTTCTGGGTAGGCTGAGGATTTTGTTGAGAGTACCAGCTTCTGAGCGCGCGACGCTGCTCAGTCTTCATTGTATGCAGTCGAGTTGGAGGCATTATTTCGATCTATAAGTCGATATGAGGAGGATTGAGGTCGATATCGAGCGAATCGCGAATTGTATGAGGAATTAATTCATGCAGAAGAAAAGCATCGACTTATCGTGATTATCGACTTATCGCGAATCGACTTATCGCGACTCGACTGTACTTTCGAAAAATAAATACATAGAAATGTACATAATCTACCCGCGAAAATTGTTACCTCCATTTACTGCAATACATCGCTCTAACTTATCCCTGAACGACGCACATAGTTGAGCAGTTTCCACATCCATTTTCCTCCCCCATTCATTCCGAAAAAATACGATGCGCACCTGAAAAATCACTTGCGCAGGTAGGGGGTAGGCCACTTAGCCCAATTAGGCAAGGTGGCTATTGTAGCATTGTTGTCTAGGAGCTTAGCCCTAATTAGGCTAAGTGGCATGCACGAGTGCGCTTTTAGGAATAATTACCGACTTTCTACCCACCACCACCACCATCACCCCCCTACCTCATAGGCTCGCCCCTACCGCCGAACCTTTTTTCCTCGTCACTAACGAGTCTTTTAGAAAATGCCGCAACAATACACTTTCCACAACGCCGCCCAGACCACTATGGTGGGATGGGATCCTGCCATCCTTAGGAACCGCACTCCTGCGTAAGTGAAAGTTATGGTTTTAGAATCCTCGTCACTAACGAGTCTTTAGCCAACGCTGCACCGTCTTTAGCCAACGCTGCACCGTCTACCTTGCCCGCTGGGGAACTATCGCTGCCTGCCCCCCGCTGATTAGAGGAGCAGTTACGGTAAGTGAATTGGTAGTCTATAATCCTCGTTGCTAACGAACCTTTAGCCGCCTATGCTGCCCTCACAAGACCAATGGTGAAGTGCATGCTGGCACCACTGCCAAATGTTATGGCTGTAAGTGTTCTATATTATCTCTTATTTGTATCGTTGCTAACGAAGCTTTAGGCCACACTGGGAACCAGCTGATGCCGCTCCCCTAAGGTAAGTAGTATACCTTCTGTGATTCCTCGTTCCTAACGATGAATTAGACACCCCCCGTGGCCTTGACAACGAGGACGTACTGCCTTGCGGCTGTAAGTGGCAGCATACTGCAATAGAGCTGCTTTTCTACCGCAGGGCGCTCCCTGCTGCCACCCTCTGTTACGACTACAGTAACATGATGTCATGGTTACAGGACCAGGGCCTAGTAATGTGACGTGTGAGTCACAGGGGGCAAGCGGGGTAGGCTGCCATGTGACAGGGCTAATGGATAGTTGCAGAAACTAGTGGATATTGGATAGTTGAGCTATCCACGAACTATCCTGAATATCTAGCTATCCGCCAACTATCCAGATTACCCATGAGGCACGACGCCACTATATAAGTAGATAGTATTTCCTTAGATAGGAGCTTCGTGCTCAACTCAATATAGTATTCTTTACAATACTGTAACGTGTTACTTGGAAAGCCTTTGTGTCTAATCCCCTGCCTCCTTTGTCAAGTCAACCTTACGCAAGAAACCTCTGTGTCTTCTATCGTTTAGAAGTCAGTGTTACACCCTTCCTCCTGGCGACGTAAGTATTGTAGAGTAACGTGGTTTATCAGTACGTCGGACATATCAGTACCTCGGACACTTTTCATTGGCATTCTACTTTGAATATCAATAAATCAACCATAACATATTAAATTAACTATAACTAAGCGGAATCAGATGAACTAGACATATCTATAGCTTCTTGACAAGTTCGCGCATTATGACCAGCTTTTCCACAGATCCCACAGCATCGCCTAGACGGTTGCCCCTCCTTGCGACTACCCCCAACCGCACGTACGTCGCGTCGTACCTGCTCATCCACATCCTTCTGTGCGATAATAGCCTGTGCATCCTCTACTATAAGTGCACCTCCTTCACGGACACGAGCCTTTTTAGCCCTGCGGCGTTTGCTAAGGGCTTCGTTGGCTGCTCGAAGGGTACGTACCTCAGCAGATAGAAGGGTGTTCTCATGTGCTAGTCGCTCCGTACCCTTTGCCAATGCAATAACTGTCCCGAAGAGTGGAGTTGGCGAGCTTCCTTGGTGACGGGCAATTTGATTTCGAACGAGGGTTGTTTGTGAAAGAGCTTCAGTTGGGTTGGAAGGGGTCTGGCAGACCCAAGGGTTGGTGTTGGCAGTAGAGGGTCTAGAGGGAGTTGGAGTCCGTAACCTCACGTCAAGCTTTGAAAGCACTGCTTGCGGGTCGAAAGGCACTAAGCCAGCTCCGCGGAACCTGGACTGGGCGTTTTGGGCTGTCATGGATTCCAGATATGCTGCTCTAAAGGCGAGAAAAAACTCGACCTTGGTAATGTGGTTGATATGAGCCTTAATGAAGGTCTCAATCTGCTGACCATATGCCCGCTTCAACACACTAAAGCACCCGACATCAAGTGGCTGAGTTAAATGAGACGAGTGGGGAGGTAGTCCAAGAGTTATAATGTTGTGTGCCTTGCAGTACTCTTGGAACTCGGCCGATTCATGACTCTCGTGCCCGTCTAACACCAGCATTCGATATGGACCCCTTGCACGAACAGCAGTATGTTTGTCGAAGTGTTTCAACCATTCTAGACCCGTCTCATTGTTTGTCCATCCATTGCTTGTCGGTTTAACAACCCAGTTGTGTGGAAGGCCGCTGTCTGTATACCAATTTGCAAGATGATTCTTGCCTTTAACTACCAAAAATGGAGGAATACTCCAGCCGTCACTGTTGATACAAGCAATCGCTGTAGCCCATTCCCGATTCCCTGGCTGAACTGCCTTACCTCTGCCAAGTCGATCTGCACGGGTAACAACCATTGCAGGGCAAATCACACCCATCATAAACCCAGTTTCGTCAAAGTTATAGAAGTCGCAGTCCAAAACACCATATTTTGCCCTCATATTTTCCACTAGTCGAAACCACGCGCCAATTAGTTCAGTATCTTCGCACAAGGCCCTTTGGAAGTCGTAAACGCGATTAAAACGCGTCTTTAATTCTGGACGTCGTTGTACAAATCGGTGGGCCCAGAGCTTCCCGACGCGCCTCCCTCCACGCGATTCGAGTATAAAATTTGCCATATCTTCTACACCAGCAAGCCGGGGTGCAAATCCTCTTGAATCCATATCAAGTATATTCCGAATAACCACCTCCTCTTCTAGTATAGTTAATTTCATCATTGCAGGCCGGCGTTCGTAGACAGTAGTTCGGCCGTTCATTCTGTCGCAGAGTGTAGAATGAGGTACTTCATAGAGCTTAGCAGCCTTCCGACGACTTAGATTTTTTGATGTTCGGATAGCCTCGAGAGCTAGAATGATTTTTGCTTCTTGGGTAATCACTGACATAATAAAAGGTGGAAAAAACGCGTTGTGAAGTTAGAGGGTAGGAAATTCGGGAAAAGTGTCCGAGGTACTGATATGTCCGACGTACTGATAAACCACGTTAGATATTTTCCTCCGAGTATTCCCCTGCAATTATTCGTAATGCCTTCATTTCATCTTCTGCAGACTCTGGAACTGAGCCTGCTTCTCCGTGTTGAATTCATACTTTGATATTATGTCGTTCTTTAAATCGTCGAAGCCAGCCTACACTGAAGTCTGGGCAGACTGTGCTGTCGTTATGTGGAAGGCGTTCCCAGATTTGTCGCGCCTTTTGTTGAAGTAGATCACCAGTTGTAAACCCTCCATTCAACTCAATTCGAAGTTGCCAAGTAAGAAGAAGCTTTTCAACTTCAGGCCAGTTTCCAGTTCGTAATCGTGCTCTGTTGGTATTAGGAGCTTCGTCAAGGCTGTCAAAGTGATGGCTGAGAGACTCAGAGACTGTCGACTGGCTAAGTTTGTGGTTATATTGTTGGAGGAACCATTCGATACACTGCTTTTGAGTTGGCTTTTGATGTTGTTTCCGAGCCCAGGCACGAAGGGCACGGCATTGTTCGAGTAGAATAGGCTGCTTTCGAGGCATTCTGAAGGTCAAGAAACACACATTGGTTGATGGATAATACGATAATTGGAGGCAGAATGACGATTATCTGGAATATCGGACAATATATGGTGTTTTGATTCGGTGCGAGAAAATATATCGCACAATTGAATATATCTGCTAACCGAATTTGACTGTACTTTTTCCCCTAGCGTATATTGCCCCTGCACATACGGATGAGGCGCCGCAATTTCCGTCCACAGCTGGTCCAATCCGCTTGGTATGGGGCATAACTGACGCCACAGTGAGCTTGTATCACAAAAGCCTTTAAATTTTATCGCTTGATTGGCCGCTGTACCGATGTAGCACTATCCCCCTGTAAAACGTCAAAGCGACCTTCCGCATGCGAGGCGACTTCGGAGATACCAGATCCGGTTAAATACTAAGCACATCACCGACTGAGCCGTAGCACCAACCAATAGTAGCACCAACCAACAGCACCACCACAGCAGTAGCACCAACAGTAGTACGCCCACCTTGGATGATTTATGGATCATAGTGTACTATTGCACGGCCCAGTCTGTGCCTTTAGCGGCCGCAAGACACCTCCATAAAAATTTAGAAGGTTAATGTGCTCCGGCTAATATTTCAACCGGTTGCATTCGGACCTGAGTTGTGCTATTCTTCGCTGGTGAATTCGCTGAAGAGTCCCATGACTTCAAGCCTCCTCCTCGACTTGATATGGCCGGAAGGAATAATTCAGTCGCTCTTGGGGTGAATGCACGGTGCACTCTGGCGGTAAAATACGCGTACACTGTGTGAACATACCCATACCCCTATAGGGGTCTGAAAGTGGAGTTGAAGGATCCAAGTGGCTACCCCTGGGATCAATGGACCTGCTGAAAAACAAGAACCAACAAATATACCAACAAACATGCCAACAGTATCTGACCCCTTTTATGACTTTTGAGCCGCACGAGTTCCCTAGTGGCACGTTGGACCAGCACCATTCCAGACTCCCCGTCCATGAACGACTGACTAGCCCACTGTATCTACAACAGTTTGTTAGGTGGCAACGTGGCAGCGGTGTTGGCGTAGTACTTGAACAGGGCCACCTTACTCGTGTTCTCTCGTGAGATATCGCATGGATAATGGGTAAGTTCTTTCAGCTTGGCAGCATGCGAGCGCCGAGGCTGAGCCGACCTGTCTGGATATGTCTGGCCATCTGGGTCCTGATATCCTCCTTCTACGTCTTCAAAGCCGCCCAGTCGAAACAGACAGTCGTCGACTGACCGACTGAGCGATGGGCCGTGGACTTGCGCGCAGGCTGCCCACCGCACCTTGCTGCACCGTCGCCAGACCCGAATATAGACCCGAAACTGGCGCGGCCTCTATCAGCAGCGAAGCTCCTCTGCCGACCTTTGCCTTCCGACTACTCTTCCGTCCCGAAGCTGCTCCACCAGAGCTGGAAAACCAACGAGCTCCCGGCAAAGTTCGAGAAATGGAGCAGGGTGTGCCGTGAAAAACATCATGACTGGGAGTGGGTGTTATGGACCAACGACGACAACCTCAATCTTGTTAGGAAGCACTTCCCCTGGCTCGAGGAAGCGTACTTGGAGCTGCCAGGGGAAATCTACCGTGCCGACTTCTCTCGGAATTTGTACATGTATATATTTGGCGGGTGAGTTGCAATGACACAACTTGAGCCATGACAGCAATGTTTTGCTAATCCCCCTCGCTAGAGTTTATGCCGATCTTGACACCGATTGCCTTCGTCCCACTTCAGCCGTCTTCAAGGCCTTCGACATCCCAAATGTCGAGAACACCACCGCCGGCGCCGACGGCAATCACATAAACCAGTTCGCCGTATTTGGGCGGATGGGCACGAACGAGAACTTCGATAACTCGATCCCGAATGCGTGGATGGCCTCTTCCCCGGGACACCCATTTTTCCTCATGCCCCCATTGTCCGTACGACCCCGGATCGCAAAGAGTAAGTCGTTCATATATTGGTTGTTTCAGCATGTTTCGGCTGAGGAGTGGACGGGGCCGGTCGCTCTGTACAATGCTATGCTCGATTTCAACACGAACGGGCTAAGCAAAGAGGCCGTTGCTATGGCAGCCGTTGGTCCCTTTGCATCGCTGGCGAAGAAAACCAAACAGGAGATTGTCCTGCTTCCCAGTCATTGGATATATCCCTACGATTGGAATGTAAAAGAGTTGCGTCCTCTATGCTCCGCTGAAGCGGAGACATTCGACGCAAAAGCCTGCCAGGAGAGGCTAGAGGTCGACAAAAAGGGGGGCATTTCTATTACCTACTGGAGCCATACTCATGACAATAAGAACGACAATGCGAAGAATATCGACAGCCTCAGTAATGAATGATTAAGGCGAAGCTTTTCTACACTCGTGTTGGTGCGCAGGCTACTATTGGGGTTCTAATCGTGGAGGCAAGGCAAACATATATGTCAGTCGATGGTTCGTCAAAGACTTATTCTATTGTGTGTCCAAAAAGGAGATCGCATCGGAGGGACGACTGGCGCGTTCTATGGGAGCTGATGCATCTCTTGTTGCGCTGTGACGAAAACAGTGGAGGGTCAGCTTTCTGATAGTTCGGCAAATACTCGTGACCGAGGATAAAGTGTGTAGTTCTCACTCCGTGCCCTGGAATAGGGGCGCTGGTTTCACTGATGCCCCAGAGCTGCCTCACCCGTAGGCTGGTGAAACAGGGCACTCCGGCCCCTGAATTAGCTCAGGGGAACGGTGTCACAGTATATAAAGTAGTTATGGTAGCTACTTTAATCGATATGCATTTTACTTCTGATTAATTAGGCCTTACTTATTTACTATTCTACTGAACCTACCAAGCGCACTTCAACATAAAGTCCATAATGAGGTTAATATTAGCGACTAAAAGGAGTCGGCACGCCCGTTAGGAGTTCTATTACTAAGGCCGGAGGGCTACGTCTCAACAACATTATCCTTTTAGGAATCACGTGGAGATGGTGCATGAAATCAGACTTAGAGACGAAAAAGATATATCTTGAGCAGCTGGTCCTTGTGACATTGTCCGTTCCGAGACTCTCCGTAACCTTTGCATTCTGTCTTCATTCTACAAGTATGTTATAGGTGTAAATACTAGTAACTCCTTGTTTAGTCGGTCGCGGACCCCTAACCCTAAGGCTCTACGCGGGTACACCGAGCTTAGGCATGTGACACCCCTACTGCTTCCTAGTCGAACGAATAGTTTGGTGAAAAATGCGGCAGGGAGGAAATCGTAATGAGCCTCGTGAAGGGGTAACGGGGAAACGGAATCCACATAGGTGCCATGTGAGCTATCGCAATCGGAAGGAGAAGGACTCCTTGTCACTTTGGCTAGTGTATTTTAGAGGACGCAACAACTAGGCAGAGAAATGTAGAATAGCACAGCACAGTAGAAGAGCGAACGACCCCTCTAGGTCTCGAACCAAATATGTCTCGCTATTAATGCTTCCCGTCTTCCCAGGTTGTGGTAATTCTTGTATGCCTGATATGTTTTTGATGGTGGGATAGGAATTAAGGAAATAAGAACAAGTTCTCCTTTGTTAAGGAAATCAAGCTGTATATAACCCTCTTTATCGTTGGTAGTGACCCTTTTTGATGAGGTTGGTGGTAAGTAGAGTAGCTGAGGTCGCTGAATTATAGTAGGCAATGACCCTACTCTCTGGTTTTCCTCGTTGTCAACGACCCTTTCGGCTTCTTTGTCTGCGTTGTCCCTTTTCCTTTTTGGCTCATTTGGAATGACAAGTTTATAGGATTCCTCAATAGGACCGACGTATTTCTTACTATTATACCTTTAGCACCTATATATAAGTAAATATAGTAATATATTACCTTTCAGCTTCATATTTAGCTAGGTTAAAGGCATTGGCCCAACTTAAAAGTTGGTTTTTCTCAGTAATTGTTCTTATGTTCTTATATCAGAATCAATTATATTTTTAGGTGGAATAAATGATTCAATTGATGTATGGCCTGTGTCAATTTCTCGTTGTAGACGAGTATTTGAAGACATTTTTTTTTCTCTCAATGGGAGCGACATTTTTAATATAGTTGTAGCTAAATTATTTTATGATGTTATTTAATAATAATGCCTCTATAACGTGCATGTATAACGAAAGTGCCAAACAAGTGAAAGTGCCAAAATATCGCGACTACCCCATAAGAATTGCGATAAATCCACCACAACAATATAAATTAATTAAAACTACTCGGAGTCCTCTTCCTCAGACCTGTCTATTACAATCTGACAAGTGCGCGCATTGTGTCCAGTCTCACCACACTTGCCACAGCGACGTGCATGGGTTTCTTCCCTTGGCTTCTGACCACTACTTGCCCTTATTTCTTGCTCTACTTGCTGCACAACGTCCCTCTCGTCCTGTAGCTCCTGTGCTACCTGTTGACTAAGTGATCCTCCTTGCTGTAGTCGTGTTTTTTTAGCTCTCCGGCGCTTGCTTAACACTTCATTTGCCTGTCGCAGGTTTTGGTTCTCTGCTTTTAACAATGCTAATTGGTGCATTATTTGCGATGCACCCTTTGTAAACTGGTCAACAGCTGCATAGATTGAGGTTGGAGAGCTATTTTGATGATGCGCAATTCGGTTTTTAATGAAAGTAGACTGTGATACAGCTTCAGTTGGGTTATTTGGTGTCTGAGAAACCCATGGTTGAGCGGTGTTTGGGCGAGAGGTTGGAGGTGTTGGCGTCTTAAACCTAAGGTCAAGTGTAGATATTACACTCTCAGGGCTAAATGGAAGAAGCCCAGCACCTCGGAACCCTCCCTGAATATTGCTTTCTGTCATTGCAATGTTAAATGCAGCGTGGAAGGCAGGAAAGAAGTCATCCTTAGTAATGTGAATAATATGAGCCCGCATCATTTCTTCAATTTGCCGACCGTAAGCTCTCTTTAATGGGCCAAAACAGCCAACATCAAGTGGTTGGAGTATATGGGAAGAGTGAGCAGGCATACAAAGCGTAATAATGTTGTGTTCTTTGCAGTACTTCTCAAACTTGTCTGAGTGGTGGCTCTCATGACCATCAAGGACTAACAAGCGATAACCACCAACACTCCGGGGCTTTGTGTGCTTCTCAAAATGCTGAATCCAATCCATACCTCTCTCGTTTGTAGTCCAGCCATTTGCAGTAACAGCGATTACCCAATCTGCTGGAAATCCGCTATTCTCATACCAAGATGCAAGGTGGTTTTTACCTGCCACAATGACAAATGGCGGCACTGCCCAACCTTGAGAACTAACGCCTTGGATTACTGTAACCCATTCCCGATTGCCAGGCTGCACCTTTTTTGCCTTTGCCCACCCATCTGAGCTTGTTACTACCGTTGCGCTTGAGATGACGCCCATCATAAACCCAGTCTCATCAAAGTTGTAGATATCTGCATTGTTGATGCCATACTTTAGAATTGTGTTCCATACAAGCTCAAACCAGCCACGAATGACTTCTGGATCTTCGCACTTAGCCCTCTGGTAGTCGTATTTTTGCTGGAAGCGTGTCCGGAGCTCTACATGGCGCTTAACAAAGTTTGAAGCCCAACGTGACCCGACGCGTGGCGCGTCGCATGTTGCAAGTAGTCGATTTGCCATATCTTCAACAATAGACAACTGAGGAGGGAACCCTTTAGCAGCTAAGTCAAGTATATACTGAACAAGAACTGATTCCTCTAGGTTACTTAATTTCCGTAAGTTGGCTTGGATATCGCGTCGTGAAGGTACGCCTTGTAAACGGTGACGTAGCTTGCAGTGGTCTACGGAATAGATCCTAGCTGCAACTCGAAGGCGCAAATTTGGGTCGCTTTGCATAGCTTGGATAGCTAGCACTAATTTGCTTTCATCATTTTTATGGCGCATGTTTTGTTGTGGAGGAATTTAACATTTAGTTGGGGGGGTTGGTCACCGCATGATTTTGGCACTTTCACTTGTTTGGCACTTTCGTTATACATGCACGTTATATGGAAAAATAAAAAAAAATAGGACATTCTATAGGTAATTATATTACTCATTAACGTACATGTATAGCGAAAGCGCCAAACAAGCGAAAGCGCCAAAATGATGCGGTGACCAAACCCCCCAACTAAATGTTAAATTCCTCAACAACAAAACATGCCCCATAAAAACGATGAAAGCCAATTAGTGCTAGCTATCCAGGCTATGCAAAGCGACCCAAAGTTACGCCTTCGAGTTGCTGCTAGGATCTATTCTGTGGACCACCGCAAGCTAGGTCGTCGTCTAGAAGGTGTACCTTCACGACGCGATATCCAAGCCAACTCACGGAAATTAACTAACCTAGAGGAGTCCGTCCTTGTTCAGTATATACTCGACCTAGCTGCCAAAGGGTTTCCTCCTCGGCTGTCTGTTGTTGAAGATATGGCAAGTCGACTACTTGCAACACGCGACGCGTCACGCGTTGGGTCGCGTTGGGCTTCAAACTTTGTTAAGCGGCATGTAGAGCTCCAGACACGCTTTCAGCGCAAATACGACTACCAGAGGGCTAAGTGCGAAGATCCAGAAGTTATTAATGGCTGGTTTGAGCTTGTGCGTAACACAATTGCGAAATATGGTATCGATGAAGCAGATATCTACAACTTTGATGAGACTGGGTTTATGATGGGCGTTATCTCAACTGCTATGGTTGTAACAAGCTCAGACGGGCGGGCAAAAGCAAAGAAGGTACAGCCTGGTAATCGGGAATGGGTTACAGTAATCCAAGGCGTTAGTTCTCAAGGTTGGGCAGTGCCGCCATTTGTCATTGTTGCAGGCAAAAACCACCTTACATCTTGGTATGAGAATAGTGGATTTTCAAGCGATTGGGTGATTTCTGTTACTGAAAATGGCTGGACTACAAACGAGAGAGGCATGGATTGGATTCAGCACTTTGAGAAGCATACAAAGGCCCGGAGTGTTGGTGGTTATCGCTTGTTAGTCCTTGATGGTCATGAGAGCCACCACTCAGATGAGTTTGAGGAGTACTGCAAGGAACACAACATTATTACGCTTTGTATGCCTCCTCACTCTTCTCATCTACTCCAGCCACTTGATGTTGGCTGTTTCGGCCCGTTAAAGCAGGCCTATGGTCGGCAAATTGAAGATATGATGCAGGCTCATATTTCTCATATTACAAAGGATGACTTCTTTCCTGCCTTCCACGCTGCATTTAACACTACAATGACGGAAAGTAACATTTGAGGCGGGTTCCGAGGGGCAGGGCTTCTTCCATTTAGCCCTGAGAGTGTAATATCTACACTTGACCTTAGGTTTAAGACGCCAACACCTCCAACCTCTCGCCCAAACACCGCTCAACCTTGGGTTTCTCAGACACCAAACAACCCAATTGAAG